GAAGTTGTTCCAGAAATTCCTCCCCTCCCCAAAGCTGGAAGAAGCGGCAGCACTGACTGCACCCCCCATTCCCTGCCTCTGTGCTGCTGGGGGAGGAGGTAGAGATATCGGGAGCAGAGCTGAGCCCGGGAAGAAGGAAGGGGTGGGGGGAAGGTGTTCTCAAGATGTGGCAATGCTTCTCGCTGTCCTACTCTGTCTGTTAAGTGGTGCTCTTGTTGTTGTTAGTGTCTAAAATAAATTTATGTTCTTTTTTTTCTTCCCCTAATGAGTCTGGCTTTTGCCCCTGACTGCATTGGGTGATTTGTCCCTCCCTGTCCTATCTTGAACCCCAAGTCTTTACTTATTTTCTCCTTCTCAGCACTGGGGGGCAAGCGGCTGCACAGTGCTCCGTTGTCCTCTGAGCAAAAACCACGACAAGATAATAGGCCCTTATTTAAATGTTAGCAGTAAATCCAGCACATGAATACACTGATTTAGTAATTTTAAGATTAGAATCCTGTCATTGCAGTCAGCAACATCCAGATTATAAAAGCATGTTAATAAAAGGAGTAAATAATTAATTTTCATGTTTCTACTAATGATGAATGTACAATGTAATAAATGCTAATTTAATAATGAGATTCCTGCATACTCAGCAGAGATTCTAAATGCAAAGTAGAATATTTTTTTATTCAGTAAATTTACCCAACTATCTTTTCATCTAAGATAGTCCTCTAGGCTTCTCTGCAATTAATAAGAGGATACAGAGATCTTAATTTCATTTAATTTAAACATCCGTTTTATGAATAGGATTGATCACCTCTCCATCACCTACAAAGTTTATGACAGATGATTAAAATCAGATAGCATTAATCTCACACACAAATAGATTCTAAAAAGTACTGCAACTACGGAGGCCAAAGAAAATAGTGGTAAAAAAAGATTCAAATTATAAAGATTAATGGATAGACTAAAAGAAGTCTCCTACACACAGCTTGCAGCTGATTTGAAAGAAAATCATTACGTAGGTAAACACAAATATAGAGAACTTGTTGCATACTTTTTTTAACCTATGAAGCACAGACAGTTGCTATCAAGCAATATAAATTATTTTTTTCTATTTTGCTTTTTATTTGAGAAAGGCATTTCTAAATAGGAACATTAAAAAAACTCCTAAAGATATTTTCACCTGTAGTAGATAACCCATTACATATCTACTAGTTTTAAACAGCTGAGGTGTATGTGTGTATATATATATATATCTATCTATCTCAATCCAGAAATGTTTAAATAATACTCAGAAAATCCTTTGAAATCTTTATAGAACAAACCTAAGGCTCTAAACTATTTTTTGTAGCCATCATCCTGACTTTACTCAACACAAGTATAAAAACATTGTTTAAAAATTACCCTTTCATCATCTGTGCATATTAAAATAAGAAAAAAATAGTACCTACTTCCTAGACAGAGGCAGGAATTTAAACCTTCCATTAGCTTCTACAAAACTGATTTTTTTTATAAATAGCACCCACTGCAAAGTTGAAGGAATAGTATTGTCATAACACAATTTTCTTGAATTTTCTTTTTCTGTTTCCTGCATACCTATTTTGTTTCTCTCCCTTTTATCATTACTAAGACAGGAAAAGAAAAATCACCTTGAGTAGATAATGTGAGCATCAATCAACTATAACAGACTACAGATTTTTTTTTTCCCACTAAAAAATAAGATTTTGTAAAAATCACACCATCTATGGATTTCCCTTGTGTTCCCAGTAATTATGGATTCTTTAAGGCAGTTTCCACTAACACAGCTGAGCTGTACAGTCCTTTAAAAAGATATCATACTCTTTAAGGTTTAAAGAAAGTGAACAATCAAAGGCAAGAGATGGTTCTTGTAGGCATCCCCTGAGGTGAAGTGCTCTTGTATGAGTTCAACCCATATTAAACATTAGAGTCCACTCTGAACAAAAGAACCATTTCAGTTTGATGTCGCACTTTATATGAAACTAGAAAATTTAACCAATAGGGAAAAAAAGGATAGGAAACCAGTATGCCTGTTTTCTACTTTTTCGTGCTGTTTTTTTTATTGTTGTTTTGTTTGGTTGGGGGTTTTTGGCAAGGAGAAGTAACTGATTAACAGTGAATCCTTTGAAAAAAACACTCCAGGACTATTGAAAAGAAGAAAAATTTAGAACACATTTAGTATCTACACTTTACGATGTAGTAGATGATGGAGTTGTTATAAAATTGCTCTCCTCATTCAACTCCCAGATATTTTCGATTGAGGAAATACAGCTTTAAAATTAGAAAAAAAAAAATATCAGCAGTTTAAAACTAAGTGAAAATGTTTCTATTTGGTCATAATTTTTTTAAAACGTGTGACATTGACCACAGTTTAATCTGCAATATCAAATCCGCTAATTTTTTTTTATTGTCACAGGTAAATGAAACATGGATTCTCACACAGAATTTACAGCTGTATAATAGCAAAGAGAGCAACAGAACTTACTTCCTGACATCATCGTGATCTACTTTGAGAAAGAATCTGCTGTTTCAGCCTCAATGTAACTCCTTCATGAATATTATCACTTCAGTATTTTCTTGGTATTTGTAAACAGCTGTTTACAAAAAGCTATTACAAACATCAGTAAAAAAAATTAAAATAACCGCACTTGACTAGAAAATTAGGCATTAGTTACACTTCTGATCACAAGATTTGCCAGGGGCTTTATTTAACTACCATTCAGGCCAGTCAACATTCCACATACTTCTGAAGCTTTCAAACATGTTTGTTTACACAGAGTATGATACCAGTGGTAACTACGATGACTCACCTTGTTTTCACTAAAGTAGAACTAGCTGTTATAATCACTTAAATATAGAATTGGACAACACATGTATTCCTTTTTTATCGTAGGGGTTTCTGGTGATATTAGAAATTTTATTTGTCTCACATTAAATTGACAATTTGGGGTCTTGAAAGTTAAGGCATTTATTCCATCTCATCATGTCAATGTGTTACTCTGCAGTTCATTTAGGTAGATGATTTAGAATGTGGAAAAAATCATGGTCTTGACACCTGTACTGTGATTAGAAGTGACGTAGTTTTAGAGAGACACCTACATTTTAAAGAAGGGAAGTATGGGTTTCACATTTTCCCAAGCAAGTTTTTTCTCTGAAAAGCATATTCCTCAGAAGATTAATCTGCTTCCTTGAACTCCAAAAAACAGTATAAACCAACTGATTACCTTATTTAAATCAAGAAAAGGAGAGTTTTACTTAATTGGAGAGCTTATCACTACAAAAAGCTACAGGATGACAGAAGCATGAGTGTATCAAACAAGATGACAACAAATGCCATATTACCAACTTTTTTTTCCCTCTAAAACTTGCATTTAAAAATCTTCTGTTTCTGATTGCAGGAGAACTTCCCTCCTCAAAAAAGCAACAATGTGAAAAAAATGACACATTATATTAGTGAGAATACTGCAGAACAGCAAAGTATTGTTTCCATGGTTTTTAAGTTTAAAAATAAAGACAGTAAGAATCATAAAGTTGTTATTTTAATTGAAAACAAGAACGTGCATACTCAAATTATCATGCGCCAGACCTACTTTCCAGAAGAACTTCCAGTCAGATATGAACTCCCCACATGTCATAGTAAGTCTTATCACGGTTAAAGTAGGAGTCAGAAAGAAACACATTGTTGACTCACATTAGCATTTTATTTTGACTCAGGAAATAAGTTTTGAACCAACTTTCCTGGTTGTCCTCACTTAACCAGCTTTGATTTCCACATTTTGATTTGCATTGTGGAGCCATAATCTCAGAGGTTGCTAACTGAATTCCTTTTAGAGACTCCAAGAACACCTGTAACGTACTCTAATTACTAGAAGGCATTCAGCACCCTTGGGCCCATTCAGCCCAAACTAGAATTAATCTGAAGTCAAATCCCTGAAACTCAGCATGGATATCAAATCCTCTGACCCATATCATTTACACTATAACTACCCCTATTGTTTCACACCACTAGTTACCAATTACATTTTTTCAGTCCTTAGGCAATGCTATTTCTTCAGTAATATCACCACTGCAATTTAGGAGTTATACATAAAAAGTAAAAGCTTTAATTAATTAGTGCCTATGATGAAGTTAGCAACATTTTAACATATTACTACTTGTAATTAAAAACAATTCCAAGCAAAAAAAGTTCACATCTAGTACTTTTAGTAGATGACTAGGTAGCTCAGTTGGTTAATGAACTGATCTTTTTATTTTAGAAAAAAAGATTTAGATTAAATAATGAATCAAGTCCAACATTAAGGACACATGACAAAGCCTTTTATAATAAAGCTTTTATTACTGTCCATAGCTTTAAATTGCCTTGTAATTTACCATAGCTAGTATTCTAAATTTACAAAAAGTGAAGACAAGGTGCTGCAGAACAGGAAGGTAAGCCTGCTTGTAAACAGGCAGAAAATCAACCAGTTTCCTTCTCCACATAAATAGAATTGTACGTTTATATAGACACTATATTTCATACATGAAATATGAAAAACTGAGAAGAGATAACAGTAAGAAAAGATGCATGCAACAAAATGTAACCGTTCATGACTACTGCTTTCTATCCACACTTTACAAAACTATTAATTGAAGTCATCATACCAGATAATATTCTACTTTTAACTAAAGAAAAAAACCCAACAGAACAGGTTCAGAGTTAGACCCCTGTTACTGTACAGTGTGAAATCCACATTCTTCTTATGAGATGCATAATTATGTTTGCTTGTCTTTACAGGATTGTAGAAGAATTGAACTTCCATATTTTTACTGCACTGGTAACGGAAAAAAAAATACTACTAGAATTAAATCTTTAACTTCATTTAACCAAAATGTTTGTAATTCAATTTATTCTTTGTAAGCAGAAAAACAAAGCAGTCATTCCTCCTAACTGAAGCTCCTTAAATATAAATATATTTGTAAGCTTAGATTTTTTTATATGAGTTTTAAAAGATACTTACTGTTCTAAGAGTTGATCATGTTTTCTTAAAGCATCCTTTTCGGCAATAACTGCTCTTTCTTTTTCAGCAACAGCATTATCTCTTGCTTCTCTCAAATTTCTAAAGGAAACAAAAGTTATTCTGTCAAGACTGTGTTAAGGAAAAGACAGTTTTGCTTCATGAATTATGACTGACTGATCTTAACGTCAATACCACCTTCTTCAGCTCTCACTGAACGATAGAGAGGTCAGTCTATCTACATGCCTATTCATTACAGAAGCTTTACTTCAAATTACTTTCACATGTACCAGCAAAGTTTCCAGTTCTGAAATTCTAATAACAGTGATCAAACCATCTATTTATCTGTAGAAGCATATGAATAATTCTAGAACTATAAATTACTTATTTTTTGTAGGAATTAATTAAATTCCCATAATTTTGCTTGGTATTTCAGTAATAACTAAGGGAACTCTGTCCTCCTAGCTGAGATGATTCACAATTTTCATGATAGAGCGGGTAATGATTAGCTAGCAGAGACATTGGTGTCTCCTTCTGGCTTCTATTGCTGGCATCATTTTTTGATCTGTACAGAACCATAAAACACCACAAACATTTTATTGCACTCAATCTGTACTTTTTCAATTTTTTTAACCAAGAAGCAGTCAAGACTTGCAAACTACCTCATTATTATTTCACTGACACAAATGAGAATAGTATGATGTAAAAAATAATACATATAGTATTTGTGTTAAAAAATTATATAGGTATCAATCATCTGTTAATCTGTAGTCTGCCTATAGCATAACACTGCAATAAACTGTTCTAAATGGAAGTCCTGCTTAGACAGTACTTATAGGCTGTATCTCCCTTCTTCAGGGCAACACAGCAACAGCCAATTTGCAGAGCAAACAGTGGTTGTTGAGGACCAGACACCGATGTTATTTATGATAATTTTCAAGGATTTTACTTTACTCTGGGTTTGCTCCTGTGACAAAGTTACTAGCATTTTGGAATGTATTAGATGATTTTAGAGACTCCTTTCAATTTCATTTGATCTAGAAGGAATTCTGTTAATTTGCTACCAATGTGAGCACAATACCGCAAACTCAAGCACAAACTGTGAGGCAAGCAAAAACATGGCAAGCAGCAATGACTAAGGAGTTTCAATTCTAAACCACATTCTTCATCTGAACTAAGCTGCTAATGGAGATTCAATCAAGCTCTTCCCACTCAAGTTTTTTCTTCCCCCATCTCCAACAGAAATTTTTTGACTTAAAGTGAAGTGAAACTACAGTCTTAGACAAATTTTGAAGAGAAAAGTCAAGATATAGAGGTAAGTGGAAAATTATTAAGCCTGTGTAAATGTTGTCCTTGGTCACTTTAGCCACACTAAAAGTATATAATTTTTGGATGAAAGACTATTTTCTAGAGTAAAGAAATATTATCAGTGATATTGATTTCTGAACTCAAAGTAATTCATATGAATAGGAAATAGTCACTTATGAAGAAGAATGATCAGAATTATGTAACCATTAACTGGTTGTGAGAGAAAGATAACAAAGTTTTCTTTAAAAATTGAGGTACTGAGCTACAGAATTTACCAATTAAATTCAGGGAATGATCTTGAGAGTATATTCTTTAAAACTGACTCATACCAAAATATAAGAGCATGGCAATTAATTTTGTTAACAGCATCAGGATCAAGCATATTATGTCTCAGAGTAGGAGTGGAATGTTGTATCCTTAAGACTAGAGTAACGGAAGTGGGGTAAAAATTAAATGGTAGGAGATACACAGCAACTTATTTAGAGAATAAACTATTTTGCTTAACTGAACAGCTAGTCAATTCAAAATACAATAGAAGGGAAAAGGACACAAGTGAGGTACTATTCAACCAACAAGATGACAATCACAGATGTGATGTAACTTCTGTTGACCTATTTTCAGAGCTAGGAAATACGCTAGTGACACTCCAGCTTTCAGACAGTGTGACTGCAATTTTAAAAGAGGTAAAGCACCTGTCTAACGGCTGCACATACAAGCCATACGGACCATCAGGTACCTAGCAAACATCATATAAGTGAAAGTGTCCTAAAATGGGACAGAAATACTACCCACAGATCCATGAACAGGTATAGATTAAAAAAAAAAAAACAAAACAAACAAAAAAAAAACCAAACAAAAAACAAAAACCAAACAGGTGGGATGAGGGCAGAGGAATGGAAGCAGAAGCACAGAGCAGAGGCATCTATATTAGCTTTTGAAATAAACTTAGCAACTGCCATTTATTGAACTTCTGTTCACATCTCTAAACTAGAGAGCACAAATTGGATTCCAGACAGATTGAACCAAGTCAGATGTGCTCAGGGAGAGCATCCAACATGCTCAAAACTACTAAATTTCATTTGATCTATGGAAACAGACTATAGTTAATCCAAAGTCAAACCTCATGTAGACTTTCATGTGCCTTGTGAATTCATTCATGCTTGCTAATGCAAACATAGCCAAGCTTACTACAACCAAACAACTGAAAGTGATCCCAAATAAATTAAGAATGAAAGCATCACCTTTTTATTGGCTTCCCCCTCATCATTTTAGCTTCTTGAAATGACTCATCTAAGTGTAAAATAAGTGCCAATAAATTCAAGGGAAACATCAGGCTTGGCAAAGTGGTAAGGACTAAGAGCAACTGAATATTAGATTAGCTTAGCTGTAATACCATTCAATGCTTTGAGCTTGAAGATGACACTAGCATCTTGGCTGTATTTTCAGTCACAATCAGCATCTTATCTCATCACACAAATTCACTGCAAATTACTTTGTTCACAATTTGGGGTTCCATTTGTCTCACCATTTAGGGGCACCTCAGACTGGGAAGCACTGTCTTATAGTGGGTTTTTTTACTATTTTATAAAAAGAGCATACGTTAAAAATCCTTTTTTTTGCAAAATATGAAGTCAAATCTAAGGGCTTTATATTTCAGAAGTAATTATTTCAAAATAAGACAAAATTTCTGCAAATTGGTTCCAGATACAAATGAAATATCTTTGAGTAGCTTTCTCAGTGATATACAGACAATTGACAAATCTCCACAAACAGTGGAGGTTTGAATTCATACTTTGTAATTCAAAATAGATTTGCATACAGGATGTGGTGTGGAAGTATACGAGTGTGTGTATATATTTTACTCACACTTGCAAAACTACACAATGATGTCTTTAATTAGAACCTTTCAGTTGACTGGAAGACAGACAGCAGGAGTCATGTTCTTTTTTCACTCTTCCGAGCAGTAACAAAACTACCTATTAGAGGAACAGATGCTGATGCCACAAATATCTTTTTAATACAGTCATCTCCTCCACACAAGACACTTTCAGAACATCTACAATGGAGTAATAATGAATAATTAAGTGCTCCTCCCATTTTAAAGGAATAAAATGGGGAAAAAAAAAAAAAAACAAGCTCAAAAATAAATCCAGTGTCAAAAGTCCAAATCTTCAAGTCCCTAAAGGCTTATGCATGTGTCTAACACTGAGTGTAATTCCATGGAATTCATCAAGATGACACACATACAAAATTCAATATGCAGGTCTTTGCAGGACTAGGATCTTCTTCAAAAGAAGTTTTTGTAACTTACAGGAAATCAATGTGTTTTTTTAATCATAATGCTGTAAACAAATCTCAAAGATTTATTTTAGAAAGGCATAAATCTTATTGGTTTCCCTCATTTTTTCTGCTTTACTTTCTGCATCAACACCTCCTCTTCTGGTTTCCTGGCACAGTTTCAAGATTGTCAATATATATCATGACAGGCAAACCAACACGTTTTGCATTAATTAACTAAAACTACACATCTGAACAAGCTTCAAACCACTGATGTTTATATAGAACATGAATTTTAATAATACCTTTAAATGACAATGTTGGATGTCCATCATTTAATAATAAATATAACACCATATATTTACTATACAAGTATAATTTCATTCTAGTTTTCACAAGATTCTTGTCAGTTTTATAACTGAACTTAAACGTTCACATTTTGATCACCTCTCACAGCCAGTCAACTAGGATCATATCCAAGCACAAAACAGTACTTGGTCACTTTTGCCCTAATTACGTTACTGCCTGCATCTTATCTACCTGTTTTCACGTTCATACATCTCTCTTGAAGCGCTTCTTAATTGCTCAATTTCTTGATTTGTTTTTAACCTTATTTGTTCCAACTCTTCATGCAGTCTCTTTTCATACTCTGTTTTATAATGGTCTCTGCAAATAAACAAATACACAACATGGGAATTAAAAATTAATTGCACTAGCCAAAATATCAAAACCTCAGGTACAGCTATACAAGGTAAAGCAGAGCACTTCTTAGATTTACCTTATTTTAATTCTTACTCATTTCCCTCCAAAATTGCTTGAAATACATATTAGCCTATGTTGTTACGCAAATTGAGTGAAAAATCACTCAGAAATAAAATTTAATTGAGAATAAATAAAAGCTTTCAGCATACTGTTTAAATATTTTTAAAGTAATTTGACATTGATTAGTCACACATTATGCTTAACATTCTTCCAGAACTTCTTGGTCATCCTCTACCTGAGTGCTTATATTAATTACCCACTTAAAAAAATAAAAAACAACCAAACAAAAAATAATTCCTTGCTTCCCAAAGTTTTCCAGCTTCTTCCTCACTGGGTAAGGGTTGATTAACTTGCTAACTTACAGTACTGCCATGCTACTACAGGACTTTGTTGTGTACTCTTTGCACTTCATATGGGGAAAAAAAAAACACAAGAAACATTGAAGATCACATACTGTGGAGGTTTGTGAGGTCAAAAAACCCACAAGATTTGGGAATTTATCCTGTCAATGTGACAAATTCATTAAAATACATACTTAAGTTTTTAAGCAGCAGATATCGGAAGATTTCAGAATAAAAGAACTTAATTTCAGAGTAATATTGATAACTTTGTGTAACTTCTGAAGTCCAAATTGTAGGGAATCCCACACAGAATTTCTCCCCCAAAACTACAAAAAAAGACTTATGTCGTAAGAACTTAACAGCTAAGGAATGCTAAATTTTTATAGCATCTAGGTAATGTTCAAGAATAATCCATCGGCAATGAAGCAACTGGTAGAAAGTATAGATTTGCAAATACAAGCATGCTTATGAAGAAATGTGCATTTACAGCTATAAAAGGTTTTAGGTTTCTTCCAACTTCCAATTGTGCAATAGCCCACAATTTTTAGAAATCAGTACCTGAGCTGGCCAAAAACTCCTTCACATTAACTACTAAAAGCCCCAAAATATTCAAATGTCAGAATACTTGCTGTCCAGGTTGTCTTGTTTTCTTTTTATGGAGACACTGAATTTTAGTTGACACTTCAAGGTAAAAGCGAATTTATCTCCTTCCTCAATTGCGCCACACTACAGCAAAATGCTTTATGAAGATCTTCGATACAATAAAATTTATAATACAGAAAAAAAAAACCAAAACAAAAACAAAAACAGACCAAAACACAACAAAAGAACACCAAAAAAATGAGCCAAAATCCACACTGTACTGGAATGTAAGGTCACCATTAGAAAGTTTTTGTGTTCTTTATGTGTTATATAGCTCAATTTGTTAAAAAAAAAAAGAAAAAAGAAAAAAAAAAAAAAAAGAAAAAAAAAAAGAGAGAGAAAAAAAGAATGCTGAAGATCAGGACCTCAGGATACAATTCTTATGTGCAGAATCAATCAGCATCACCATTTTCTTGGTACTTAGACAATTTGCTATTACCATGTGCCATTGTAGAAATTACACCTTCCTTCCCATGGTAAGACTGATAAAAGTCAGAAAGGTTCACTGAAAAAAAATGAGAAGAATCTGGAAGAATCTTGAACACCCACAGTGATGTCACCAGAAGACAGTTCAAAATGACACTTATCTTTATGATGAGTAAAATAAACAAATGGTAAAGGGTATATTCCAAGTATATAGCTTGACTGTCCTGCCAAGGCCTTTTACTAAACACTGAGTTGCTGCTGAAGAAAAGGACCATCATTTGACATTCCTACTCCTGACCCACTGTTACAGTCTTTTACTTGATCAGTTATTAAAAATGCTTCTGCCTTATCAAGTTGTTTTGTATTCCTTAGGCTGCAGGCTTTAACAAACTTATTTCAAGGCCTATTATTCATAAGGCTTTATACTGCAAATAAACTAAACGTGATCTGAGCATTTCAATGCAACTATGGATTGCATTTTAAGATTAAACATATAAAGGGAAATCTTTTGTGTTTGTTCATCTGTGCTTACATATAGATTCCCAAGAACTGTAGCTATGAGCTGCTGTCATTCATCTTGCCACAATCTCAACCTATTTTGAAGTGTGTCATCTTAAAAATTTGGCAGGTTAATCCCTCAGTTTCCTAAAGTCTGTAATTTTCTAACTACAATACCCCAATGTCAGCAGTTCTGACAGTGACCAGAAGGTGAATTATTCTATAATCCTAAAAACAGATACGTGAGTTCATTTTCATCATCTTCATTCCTGAATTACAGCAAACAAAAGAGATTCACATGTGAAATAAGCACTAAAAAGTCTCAAATTTTTCAAAAGGTAGCAAATAGAAACTTATTACCCAAACTGATACCACCTGCAGGTAGCACTGAGGACTGTAGAATGTTCATTAGTTGGTACAGTTTTCTGCTGCTTTTCTTACGTACCTCTCTAACAAATAAATAGGATTCTGTAGAGCTCTCTAAGAAACCTAATACCATAGATATTTGACCAAAGAGATGGATGGTTTAAATTGCTGAATAGACAGGAATCCCCACTGTGGGACGCAGCCTCAGAAGATGCACACAAAGTATGTACATGTGTGGCAAAACGTAAAGGGCCAGCTTCTACTGTATTGCAGATCACATGCAGGTTTTAAAGCATTTTACGAAAGGATACTATTACTGCCATTTTACAAAAGAAATCTTCCATTAACATTTTTACATTTTACATTATGAAATGACTTATTCAAAGTTCATCAGCAGGTCAGCAACGAAACCTTGAATATAACTTAGGCTGACCAAGCTGCAGTGCAGTCCTATACATACTGCTCAGGACACTACACTGTCTTCTCTGCTATGCTATATTATCCCTGAAAGAGACAGTAACAGTCACTAGAAGAGATCAGACATACCTGAAATATTCATTACAGTTAATGCTTGTCCTATGAAAATTAGCATCACAAAGAGAGTCACAAATACCAAAGATGTCAAGAGAGAGAGTTGGCAATAGTACAGAATCCCAGTGACAGCTTTGATAGAGGCAAAGTAAAAGTCACAGAATTTCTCTTTAGTTGGTCTCAAAACCGCAAGAGACAAACTACTGATATTCCAGAGGACAGTGAAGCAGGCTTGCACAGTATCCCAAGATGTGGTAGAGGCAAGCTACTTATGTCTCTTTCTAAGTTCCTCAAATGCAAACAAGTCTGTAAAAGTGCCTCTGCATCATTATTATAGGATAAGTATTTCAGAGTGGTTTTCTAGAAATAGAAACCTAGCTACAAGTGTCACTGCTTACAAGCACATTTCTAGATGAAGACTGTGCAAACCTACATGTTTTTTTTAAAGCCCACTTAAAAGCGAGTCTTAAAAATTTATTTAAAATGCAGAAGTTCCAGGTGAACATAGTTCTGAGATACACACACGTAAACAGATTTTAAAAAGGTTTAAGTGACTGCACTGAAAGAAAAAATAGTATCAAACCCAGTTCTGATATGGGCTGGAACTCCATAGCTGATAATTTCAGTAGAGTGCTCTTCTACTTCCATTTAGATAACAATTTGTCTTTTACATGTATTACAGAAGTCATTTTAGCACACCATCTTAGTTATACAAGGACAGAAGATTTATAGATGCTGTTTGCAGTTCCATCTCCCTGATTCAAAAAGAAGCAAGCAGATGAAGAGAAGCTGAACCTACTGCATACTCTAAGCTTATTCATTCAATCCACAGGTGTTTAAGGACACTATTAACAAAAAAATGGGTTTATGTTCATTAAAGCAGTACATACAGGCAAATACTTGATGTAATTTTAGGATATATATTGAAATGTAATCTTTTGGCATCTAGATGTAGGGAAATACCATGAACTGGATACCCTTGCATTCTGAATAAGAAAAATCTAAGTATGGTTTGAAACAGGACAATGCTCTTAGTCACATAATTTAGTTTTAGGTAGTCCTGCAAGGAGCAGAGTTAGACTCGTTGCTCCTTATGGGTCCCTTCTGAATTAAGATATTCTATGAAATTACATACGTAGCAAGACATGTAGCTGAATAGTGTAACGTTTCCTGTTCAACATCCTTTACATATATCTGCACCAATTCAAATAGCATAAGGATTTTACACAATTTACCACTGTGGCTAGCATACAATGATCAATCTATTTCTCAAGGCTACATTTAGAGAATCTGTATTCAAACCTGAGATATGAAAGACTGATAGCTCTAATAGCTGAGACAAATTATATTATGTCCTATTTTAAACATTTGTAAAAGTTAAATATATTTTATTCTGCAATAATTGTTCAGAATGTCTTTCAAATATTTGTGGTTTTAATAAAGGTCATTTGGGGCAGGGGTGGTGGTAAGATATGTAACATATGTACTTTAAAGAGTTTTTCTCTTGTAATTAATTGCAGTTACCTGTGTAAATTTCCATATACACCTAAGAGAATAGTTGCCACATGCTGATATCTTCACTACTATGGTCTTATATCAAACGTTTAAAAAAAAAAATTTCCTGATACACATTAAGACCCAACAAAAGTGTTCAGCTTCTAGTTACATGAATATGGACTAGCTTTCTGAAAGTTAAAATTATTTTTAATTAAACACGATTTGTGCAAGAAACAAGGGAAAACAGTTAAATAACTCATCTACCAACAGAAGTGAACACACAATAACTTACCTGGATGCAACATATTTTTCATACACTTCTTCCCTAGCTTTCTTGGCATCCTCTAGCTGAATCTGAAGTCTTTCAAGACGATCTTCTTCATGTGCACAACGAACACTAAGCTCCATATTCTGGCGATTAAGATAATCTTTATCTTTTTGCAACAAGTTGAGGGACTGTTGTATGGTCACCAGCTATAAAAGGCATTAAAAAAAACACTTTAACATGAACTTCAATATAAATATTTAACCTATGTACACATATTCATGATTCCATTTTAACTCTCTTCTGTTAAATCATCTGAACCAAAAAACTATGTTTGCACTTATGTTTAAAGGTTCACCAACTTACATTATGCTGAAAAAAATACTTTATTAAAATTATAATTTTATGAGTTTTCATCATTTCTTTCTGGTGGTTGGCAACTGAAAAAAAAAAAAAAAAAAAAAAGAAAGTAAAGTGTCTCTTAATCTGCCTCAGTATCTGAATAGTACTGAATAGTGATAGTACTACCTCAGAAATACTGATATTGACTGTTGGTGCCAATCTGTCATCTTATTGGCTACAACATTCTCAGAAACAGAAGTTTAAGGACACCAGATTGATTACTGTTCTGTAAAGAAATGGTAAAACTGCTAGTTCTGGGGCTGAAGTAAATCGTGTTTGTTGTGGACAAGGTAATGTTCCAGGCTAGCACCAAAGGCAAAGAGGACTATGCATGCCTTGCTTTGACTTTCATTTAGCATGGTGTTGCTACAGAAGGCTGAACTGATGTCAAAGCAGAAACGTGAATAACTTGTGAGTCTCTGTAACAGCCTTCCCAATCACCAGATCAGTCATCTTTACTACTCCAAGAAGAAAGTGGTGTGGAGGAGAGTAGTCTTCATCTGTTTGAGGTGAACATTGTCAGAGAACAGCCACAGAGCATAATGGCACTGGTGCAGAGCGGCCCAACTCCTTACTCATCATAGCAAAATGCAGTTTTATCAGCTTAAGTAAGTTTGCTGTTTACTCTCCTGAGGACGTCACATGCCAAGTTCAAAGAATGATAAATTAATAATTTATCAGAAATATGTTCCCCAAAGCTATAAAGGCATCACGTACATGTTTTAGATAGACTTCAGCCTTCCTGAGTCATAAAAGGACTAAAGGTTATTTATGGGAGATACGAGTCAAAGACATGGAGTAACTAGTTAAACAGCTGAAAATTCGTACCAAAAAAAAAAAAAAAAAAAAATGTTTTTAGAGGCATGCTTCTTTCCATCTGCCCACTGGCTAAGCACCACAAAGGGTAAGGTAAAAATGCTTGTCCTATACTTTGTTTTATTTAAGAAAAAACTGTAACTGTCCTGTCTCTAAGTAACAGGTTATTACGTATATCCACAGTAAACACAGACATCATGGATTACTACATGAAGAAAGAAATCAAGGAGTTACTAACCCTCCAACTCCTCCTCCCCTGAAATAAATACTGTGTAAACACAATTATATGCTCTTTCAATCTAGAACTTGTGATACTGTATCAGCATACACAGAAACCACCATGGACCTTCCAGGAGATTCAAGTAATCACACAGTTTGAAGTGGTAATTTAGCTTAAAGTAGTGCTACTTTTATTCCCCCTCAGATTAATTTAGTACAAAGTTAATGAAAAAAACCAGTGATGCTGCCACAATGCAGTACTTGTTGCGTACATACAAACTTGATGTATATGACAGTACTTTTTTGGCCATTGTTATATGCTGAGAACAAACCTGCATTTTGATGTTCTCCTACAATGCTAGAACAATGATGAATAAACAGCCTAACAAAGCCTGGAGAATGATAGAGAGGAGAATATATTTCCTAATAGAAACCCAGTTTCTTCTAGTGTTTCAGAGAATCTCTATGGCTACCTGTAAAGTTAGGCAGAGGAATATTATCTTTAAAATGGTAGTTGTAGCCACTATTTTATCTGTAATACTGTTATACAGAGACAGTAAGGAACACAACCTCCCCTGAATCCTCTCAGGCATAATTGGTCTCATTTACTCAGCTGCCAAAGTGTTAACACAAAGATCCTCCACTTGATTCTTGCCTAGAGCAGTACAGAAGTCAAGAACAACCCTCTCATGCAGTGCCCCTTTCATACTACATTAAGAAATAAATTCACAAATTAATTCAGAACAGACAATCAATTATTTCTCTGTTCCTTTTGGTGTTTCCAGGAAAGATGTCTATACAGAAACACAGCTTAAAAAATAGCCTTATTTTTGCAGCAAAGTTGTACTGAGCTACAAACCATCTGATAATTAGTCAATGATGATACAAATTGGAAAAGTTTCTTTCGTGAGATTCAGTAAAAGCCTCTTTCACGTGAAAAGCTGTTGCCAAGCTACACCTAGATCAGATGAAGGCAAAAATCCCTTATTGATTCCAATAGTTTTGGATGATTCTATCCTAAATAGCTTACTTAAGGTGAATAATTAATCCCGGAGGTTCAGTGAAGCAATCCCCTCCTATGAACAAGCTTGTACTGGTATAAACCATCAGAAGTCCTACAGATCAAGGCAGTGGACATGGAAACATTCTCTACCTTATGTTTCTCTTCACTTAATCAATAGTTACCACACATGTCCACTAAGGGAGCCATCACTGAACACAATCTGTGACTCTTGGATAAATGAATTACTGAACAGAGAAGCAGCAAGGGACATTGCTCTTGACCTGACAGGTCTCAGGCTCTTGGACTGTGTTTGGAACAGCAGAAACACATTCCCCTGTGTAATACTAGTGCTACCAAAATGGCAACAACTAGGATCTGAGTGGAGTGACCTAACTGGATCAGAACTTAGTGGAACCCTAACAAAGATGAGAACCATTCTGTGCCTGATGAGGCATTTATTCATTTTCCCAGCAGAAATGCTTTCAAAGACTAATGAAGGCATGTTAGAGAAAAACTGTCCATCACCATAGTAGATAATCCTGCTCAAAAGGGAGGCAGGACTGGAACGCCTCTTGTCAATATGCAGTATCATAGAAAGAAGAGGTCCAGAATAGCAGCCTCTATTCCTGACAGAACTAACCTCTGTAAAAATGAACTGAAGGAAACTTCTGGCAACCGAACCATTATTTTACTAGAGAATCACAAAAAAGAAAAGTTATATATTCTATTGATGTCTAGAAAAAACATACACAACAAAACATAAACCTTACAGTAGCCCTGCTCTACTGTCATTATTGGTCAGAAAGAGCTAAAGCAAGTTTTAACTAGTTCTGCACCTTTTGAGGGACAGAGCATACTCACAGCATTCAGCCTTCATTTATAATTTTGCCCTTGGGTCTCCCAGGTTCCTGAGCTTATTGGCAGAGTTTGGAAGGCTGAAGCAAAAGAAGACTAAGCTAGAGACCCAGGAAAACAGCACGTACATAATGCATAGGGAAAAACAGAAAGCACTTAAACAATGTTGAGGAAGATAGCCAACATTGCTGTGAGGTTGGTTAGCTGTCTGAAAGATCATAGCAAGTAAACAAGGCTTCTGATGACCAGAATCCAGCTTCAAGGAGGTGTTTTGCCAATTGACAAGGTTAACACAAAGGATATAGACATCAAGTTAAAGACACAGGCTTATTTTACTGGCTGTCTCAACGTAATACAAAAAAATAAGCAATAGATAAGAAACAAGGCAGTTAAGAAATAAGGCAATGCATCCAGTCATTACTATACCAGATAAGTCATAGTGATGAAGAAAGATACATCACCAATTGCCTTCATACTTTACCATCATCCAGATCAGTGCTTCAGCTGGAGAGCCTCGTCACAGTGAAGGATCGGAGAGCCTTTCCCAGCAAGTCCTATGCAGTGCATCCACTCATAGGTAAGGTCTCCATCTTCACTGTGAGAGGGTCCTACTTTCATACAGTTCTAATCAAATCTATAAATCTATCTATGTGACAAAACAGATGGGAGACATCTGGTGAATTGGCTTGTCTTGTCATTCTCCTTTTGGATTCTTCCCCAAGACTGGCCAGGGCTCAAGGAGGAACCAAGGGAGTTTGTGTACTTGGCCTTGATAGCACGTTTCTAAACTAGGAAAGGTCAATATATTCTCATATCATTTTATCGAAGCTACCTATATCGCTAATGAGATATTCTATCCAAGCTACATATTTTGCTAATGATCAGATACTGATATTATATGTTTGGTTGTGAGCTTCACCTAGAGGGCAACTTTGGCTCAAGACCTGTTGGTTCAGGCCTTAGTTCTTCAGGAGGATGACCCAGAGAACTGTGGGCTTGTACATCTAACCTCATTCCCTGCAAAGATTATGAAGCAAATCCTCCTGGAAGCCATATTCATGCATATGGAGGAGAAGGTGACTGGAAACAACTAACATGGATTTACCAAGGCCAAACTGTGCCTAGGAAACCTGAGAAAGTTGCCTCTATGGATGGGGGGGCAACTGTCCTTGTCTTTTGCATGGCTTCCAGCCATCTCCCGTAACATCTCTATGGGAAAATATGGATTGGATAAGTAAGTATCAGCTGAACAAACTTAACGTGAGTCAAAAGTGTGTCCTGACAGCAAAGAAGGTCAAGTGCCTACTAGGCTGTATTAGAAACAGTGCAGACAATAGGCTGAAGAAATTTATTATTATGCTGTGTTCAATGCTTCTGAGACTGTATTTGGTGTGTCATGTCCCGTTCCGAGTTCCTCATAAAGACATACATTAACATACTGGAACAAGACAGTCATGGTCTGCAGCACGTGATATACAGGGGTCAGAGAAATGGGGGGTTTTTTTCAGCCTTCAGAAGAGGAAACTGGTTGGGGAAAATCTTATTGTTATCTTCACCTATCCAACTGAAACACACAGAAAGAGGCAGACTCTTGGAAGTACATAGTAACAGGACAAGAGGTAATAGAAAAAATCTGCAACAACTCTGAATAGATTTTACAAAAACATTTTCACAAAGAGTATGGACAAACACTGGAACAGATTGTCCAGAAAGGCTGTGGAATCTCTATCCTCAGAAACACTCAAGGTTGACAAAGCCCTAATCAACCTGACCTACGATGGCTCTGCACTGCATGGGAGGGTTGGATCCGCTGGTTAACTGAGGACCATTCTAATCTAAATTTTTCCACGATCCTACAGGTGATCCTGACAGAATTTATTAGACTAAGAATCAAAATCCCAAGGTGAAGAAACAGACAATTACTGAAATACGAACTTTACGTTTACCTCTTTTGATAAGTCATTTCTTTCTTTAGCTTGTGCTTTGTGTGACACCTCTAATATTTCATATTTTCTTCTGAGTTCTGAAAATTCATGTTCAAATACATCACGTTCACTGTTAAAATAAAGTGAAACTATTAGTTGCATAAAGTGTAATGAGCAAGATTCCTGCGCATTTGTAATTTCTCAGCTTTCTTTCAGTTCATGACACTGAATTCTTTCAACCAGTCACTCAGAGCAATTAGTGATAATCTTACATTTTTTGAGGTATTAACACCTGCAACAGTATCTTATTACATACAGTATTTTTCTTATTACATACAGTATTTTTCTTAGTTTTGAAGTATTTAAAAAATAATCCTAAACTATAATACAATAATCCTGAATTCCCATCCTATATTATTTCATCCTTCTCTAATTATTCTTTAGTGTAACTTTGGGCTATACATTTCTCCTTAGCTATGAGCTGTTAGTACCCTTATCCATCCTTTTAGCTTTATCAAGCTTTTCATGCTATTTCCCATGACATTCTCTTGAATCTTTTTGCAGACACTGAAGTCTCATAAAAAAGCAAAGCAAACTCATTCCCATCTTCCTAACCAAACAGAAGGCAATGTATACTTGTTCTCAGTTGCTACTCTCCCTTGTATACAGTCCCCTGATACTGGAGGGGGTGGTACTACTACTCTTATGTTTAAAATACACACGACACAGCTGCAAAAATTATTTTGGTGTCCTGAATAAGAGCACTTTCCATGTGCACAAAGAAGCAGCTCTATGCCTCCACTCTATCTGACCCTGTCAGAACAGTGAAATGAATGAGCCAGTATGAGTTTGCTGTTTGGAAAAAAACTAACCAGTTTTATATTAAGCATAGCATGCCTTAAAACTGAGATAACTTGTAGTACACCAGAACTAGAAGATTTGACATAGAATTTCTAAAGGCAGAAACAAGCCTGGAAGTGATTAACTCCTGCAATGCTCCCAAATATTCTCATTCAGTCATGCCAACAGTGCTCTCTCCTCCCCTTCGACTGTGCCTACCCCGATGAATACAACCTACTCTCTCAAATATAGTTTTGGCACGTTCATTCATGCCTTTTTCAACTCAAGACTATTTTAAATGTACACTGTTAAACAGTGGGGCCATTCACATGAACGTTATTACAATCCACTTATTAAAATGCAGTTGCACACGGGAAGCAAACCATAGCATCAATCCATCCTATTTGCAACAAGCTTCCAGATAGATTCAAAGGTTGTTTTAGTACATATAGCTGTGAACACTTATCCAGAAGACAGACTCTCCTTCAATGACTTAGTGGAAAAGTCATTTGTGTCAGTAACGGTGCCCAAGTTTATTTGGTATGAACAACTAAGGAGCTGACAGGGTGTTTTCTATTCATAATCCCCATTTTTTAATCCATTTCCCAACAAATGTTGCAAAGACCAGATTTTTTGTACTTGCAAGCACAATGAAAAAGCCATTTGGAAGCTGGACTGTGAAGTATAGGTCTATGAGTGTATTTATAAGAAGTCCATTTTCATTATTTTGCAATTGTTGGTTACAAGATGGGCATTTAAAGCATAGGCTAGAACTGTAAAAATCTGCACTTCAAAAATGAAAACAGACACTGGAACTTCCTGCAATTATGCCAATTCACTAAGATAATCCTAAAATTCTCTGACAAACAGTTCTCATAACAGCCCTTTCAAATTTATGGTTACAAGGATATCTTAAGTTGGAAATATTAATTCCCAAGGTCCTAACCTCTTAATTCATTGTGTAAGCATAATCCATTAGAGCATCAGGCCTTTTGTTAGATCATTGCTTTTAAACTAGGAAAAAAGGAGTACTTGTTCTAAGATGCTTGGCATCAACAACTCCCACTTCTTTAGTTGCAATGAGACTGGTAGGTTCTTCTGAAAATACCGTAAATCCCTATATATAAACTTTTAGGAAGATAATTTGATGCATCAGATTTCAAAATGTTGTTCATCTTATGACTGCAATAGACTACTGGAGATAATTGAACCATTAGTGGATTGAGGTAAGAAAAAAATATCTGTGGTGTGCATAATCAAAAAAAATGAAAAACTCTAGTCAATCAAGGTTCAAGTTTATCTATTAGCATTTATATGTTAGTAGAACACTTGAACTATAGAGATACCTACCATTTTACTTTATCATAGTTCTCTTGCCTGTAATCACCTCGCTGAATCATCTGCTTGGTATCAGCTAGTTCCAATGTTAAACGCTGGCATCTAACCTCAAGCTCTGACCGATTCCTCCTCTCATCTTCATAGCTCTAGAAGGCAAGACATTTTGAAATTATCACAGATACACTGATATTTACTTAAAGCCAACTAAGTTTTGTGAAAACCTCTTATGAATATTCAGGTGGTAGTATTTTCATTTGTTTCAGTATTTTGAAATCTAGCACACATCACAAAGTAACCAGCTATACTGACACTTATTTTTTTCTTATTCTAAATAATTGATTAATGTACCTATTTTTCCTAAGACATTTGTCCATTAGTACAACTTCCAAGACCAGTAACCTTCATATATACAGCTGGTGGTCTACAAACCTAAGTATCAGCACAAAAGTCACATCACCTTTACAACATTTTCAAACAAGTTTCCTTGTGAAGATTCTTTTTCTCAAATGGACCAGCAAGTAAGAGGATTGGTTGTTCAGAAAGTTCAGCAACTTCTGTCATTATATGAAAAATTTCAGCCAGTTACTCCCAAATTGTATCTGGTAACTTATGTTTGCTGAAGTATATGGTCCAAAACTTTGGTAGAGGAAGCAAAAAAAAGAAAAAAGTTGCTTATTTAATGGTCTATCAGCATTAATTTCAATTTTCTCTTCTTTTTCCTCCTCATACACTTTGAGAGAATACTTTGGGAATTAGAAAAAATGAGCCAAAGAAAGAACACACAGAAAGCATTTGTCTTTTAAAACACTGGTTATTCATTTTGACAACAAGCAGATTTTATAATGATCACACTCATCCCTCTCACACCCCCCGCAGGAGTAGCAGGCCTTTGTACCAAACTAAACTCCATTTCTCACATTTTTCTACAAAGTTGGTATTTATTTTCAGAAACTTGCCTTACTTGCTTGTCTTAAATGCTGTAGTACTAAGTACTTTCTTCACAAAACCAACCAAAAATAATGTTCATCCACCTATACTAGGGAAAACTGATGGACAGCAAGAGTTACTTGTTCAAAATTTGAAAATACCCCCTGGGCATCTATTTTTTTTTTTTTTCATACTCTGCTATGGTTGATAAATGGTAAGCTTGATAATGGATGCTTGATAAACAATAACTCCACCTGGTTATACCAAATGGACATCACAATGTTATTAATTGAATGTGAACACAAAACTAAATGACTGCCTTAAGACGTGACTACTAAATTAACTATTTAGCCACTGCAAATTAAATTCATTTTGCAGTGAGGGACATTGTATGAGTGCATAATTTTTCAAAATAAATTGAAAGCTATGCTTTAAAGTTATAAGAGGACAGTAATTGTGTCTAGCTAGTTTATAATAGACAAGAAAAGTATAGGACAACAGCGTGTATGAAGTGGATGAATCCTAATACATCTTCCTAGGAGGAATGAACACAGGGATAATACTCTAGGATAAGGATGGAAAGACACAAAGAATACTCTGATCAAATTCATAGGCACCATAAACTGCAAGACTGACAGAATGCCTGCTTGAAAACGCACACCTAAATACTTGTAAGATACTACAGACAAGCTTCCTAAGCTACTAAACATACTCTAACTATTCTGTTGATAAATAAGGATTTTTTTGGTTTGTATTTCACAAATCTAGTAATTTCCACTTTCACTAAAATCCCATTATATCACAATCAGAAAAATCACACCACTGAGAAAGTTTTCATCAGGATTTTGGATGGTATATCATTAAGAACACGTCATCTAAAGACACGATTATTATTCGTCCTAACATACTGGTATATATGGCTTATGTTTATGTTTACCCTAATTAATAGATATGCATTAAGCAAATTAACACTATAGAACACTTTCTTCTTAAACCAATTAGCATGCCATCATTTAATAAGACGGCATTATCATAATGATAAAGCCTCTGTCAGATGTTTTTAAAGGTGTTGCCTACAAGTTACCTAGAGTTTCAAATATATAAAATACAGGTGCAAGTACCCTGTTACACAGTGCAAACATGACTAATCTTGCAATAGGAAATGGTGGTAAGGGCACTTAACTTTTAGGTGCAAATTGAAAGATTAAGTTTGGATCCAATTCCTCTGTGGGTATCCTGTGCTGTTCTGCTGCTAATACCATGCTGGAATTCATGCATCCTTCACAGAGTGGGCTATTGAAGCTCCTACAGTATTACACATTTAGCAGCTTTAAGGCAACTACCAAAAGTATAAAATTAAATTTGCTATAAAAAGCTCTAAAGCATCAATTAAAAGAACAGTTAAATATCCACAAAATTAGTTTCTTCTAATACCCGAGACCTAAACTAGGTTTTGAATTTTATTTAACAAAACAGTTGTTAATGTCATGTAACAACATGATAACTCTGGAGAAGGGGGAGGGAAGTTAAATTCTACTTTTGAAAAGTCATACTAAGACATACCTAAAATATCAATCTGTTAAGTAGGTAATTAAAGAAAGGGGAGTTGCTTTGTGGGGGCGGTTGGATTTTTTTTTGTTGTTTTGGGGGTTTTTTTGTTTGTTTGTTTGGGTTGGTTTGTTTTTGTTGGTCTGGGGTGGGGTTTTTTTTTTTAAGATTTACTATAGTTCTTGAAAAAATATTAATTCTACTGCATAGGTCACTGTTTTCCAACTACCTAATCTTTTAGGAGTCAAAGTTGTATTTTAATCACAGGAAGAAATGTGACGTAGCAAGCTAATAAACACTCTATAGGCTAATACAGAAAAACCCCTATATGGTATACATATCTTCAGGTAGCAGATGCACAAGCTTCTGGACTTCTATAGTAATGAATCTTAAAGACATACAATTAAGCTGTCTGTGCTTAGGAAGAATAAGCCTTGCTTTGCATGTGATGAAGTTAATTTAGCTTATAACAATGTCTGTATACGCTGAACTGTAAGATCTCTGCAATGGAACAGCTTTATCTTTCAATTTATCTTCAAGAGATAGCTCAGAAGTCTTGATGAACAGCTTTGTCCTGCTGAAGCAAAAACGGGGCTTTTAAAAGGATCAAGATACAGAGCACTTTCAAGGACATGAGGTCCTAAGAATAACTCCAGTAAATAAAAATAACTTAAGGAAGCCCACAAACCTTAAAAAAATTAAAGGAAAACCAGTACATACTCACATGGAACATGATTGCGATGATCCTGCCAACAACGCATGACTTTTCTTCAGCTTATTAATTTTTGCTACTGCAGAGAGTAGCAACTCAGACAGAAGAGGTGGTTAAAACAACAAACCTGTCCTGTGTGAGATGGGTATGCAAACAATGCCTAAAGAAATTGTTAACATAGCTGTCCAAGAGACACAGTAATAACCAGTACAGGTGGTTTCTACAGAGCATGTGAAGCAGTCCCTACCAAGAAGCACTTTCATTTGTTTACAAACACTGTGGACAGTTGGATGTTTCAAGCAAGAAGATTCTGAACTTGCCTGACCTGCACCATTTAAAATCCAAACTGGTAGAGAAACTAAAGATCTAATGACAAACCTCAGTTTTATGACATTGAGCTTCACTGTTATCTTCCATTTAGAATGAATAGCAGCTTATAGGTGTTTGTTTCAGTGACTGCTATCTAAATTTCACGTACAAAATCTGGGTGACATACTTTTTGAACAAAGTTAGTGACACATAATACATGGTAGGGATTAGTTGATCTTTCAAAAAGCTTTTGGGGATAAGAAGATAAACAACAGAAATGCAGGGAAAACATTAACCAGCCAATCAAGCAGAAGTAGCATGACTTCTTCATACTGTCTACAGATAAGCCTGTGGAAAAAAGTGATCCTTCTTTTAACATTATTTACAAGAACTTCATCTTTGAAGGATCAGTTACACAAGCCACCACTTTCTGTTCATATCCTAAGGTACCTATAGGCCCCAGTCAAACATAAAGCTACTATACTATCATGATGTGAAAACCAATTCCCTCAAGTTATTTGGACAAGGTGCTGCTACTTAGTAAAGATGACATTTTGCTTCAATCTGTTTACATAGTATGCATTCAAAAATTATTGTTCAATACATTATTTATTGAATACAACTGCCTAAATATCAGAATATACATCACTGAATGAATAAAACATCTCTCTTAGTATGTTCATATGAAATTGGTAATCTGCCAAGGACTGTAGATGGGGCACTATGTGCCACTAAAATAATAAACAGAAGTGTTGAGCTACTTCCAAAATAGGGAAGCTGTGCAAGAAAGGTAGGAAAGAAAAGCTCTGGCATAAGTACTTCTAATGCAGAAGAAGGGGGGGGGGGGGGGGGGGGAATAAAAAGCTCTTGCTCTCTGGATGTGAGCTGACTAGAATCTTCAGTGATACATTCTCAGGTGAAAAAAATCCTTGAGATCATTGCATTAGAGACCAGAATTAAGCCATTTGGTACTTGTGAACAACTAGCAGTCTATATGAGTCATAGCTATATACTAAAAGAAGTATAAAGACACTGGATAGAAAGGGGAACTTTCATCCATACCTAAGTTTTCTTAAGTCTCAGAAATGCTAAACTGCTGTCCCAGGCTATTAGTTATTGCTAATATGTTTTCCTTTGCAGCTCTTTTCCTGAATGAGATAAATATTAACAATAATGAAAGAAAGAAGGCACATATCTCACATAAGACTAAGGCTTCATCCGTCCTTTCTAGAGAGAGATGTGAAGACCAAGTAATCAAAGCACTGCTCAAAAGAATTGGTGTCAGAGGGAGGTGGGGAAGGGTCCTAGAGTGAAGTCTTTAATTACAGATGTGCAAACTTCAGAAGAAATCTTAGGGAATGCAGTTCTCCCAGAGTAGCAACAATAGCCTAGATTTTACAACATTCAGGTACAGCTAGCCCCAATGGTTCCTTTGAGTGCAATAGCTTAGTTCATTCTTTGAAGACTATAGAAATGTTTTTCCTCCAGCAGGGAAACAGTATCACAGACAAAATTGTTAGGTATGTCTGGCAAAACCTGACAGCTACTAATCCCGATTCAGAGATGAGGTCTTAGAATTGAGATCTTTGTCTTACACAGATCCAGCTTTGACTGTAGGCTAACCATAGCTTTTAGATAACTGTCATACTATAAATTTGATCGCAAGTCCTGAAGGCAACTTTACAGAAAAAAAAATAACTAAACAAATGAAGCCCTGATAAAACCATATCAAGACCAAATTCCAGGAAAACATTGCCAAGAAACTCATAGCCAGAAGAAGAAAGTAATCCTTAATCTTCTAGAGCTACAAATAAAATCAGAATTTCCTTCTCAGACTCTGTCCTAGCCTTAAGAGAAACATGCAAGTAGCAAATCACATCTGTTTGAGGGAAGATTCTAACCACTTTGGAAGCAAACAACTCTGAAATTAGTACACTGATGTTCAGCATGGGAACACACACATGAGTAGTTGGGTTTGATTCTGGGAAGCTCCTAGTAATACAACACTATATCTGGGTTGTCTTCTCTATCTGTACCTCCAAAGGTGGTAGTGCCAACATTATCTGTACTTGAAGTACTGAGTACTGTAAAAGAAGGACTGAAATGAGTCAGTACTATACATTTGGTAACAGATCAGTCAGCACTGCAATACAAGAACATTATTTTTACCCCTTCTACCACCTCTCCCCAGTCTGTTGCTGCTGCACCTAGACTCAGAGGAACCACACTGGTCTCAATCACAGTTTTAAGAATTGTGTACAGAGAGCCAGTAACTTAATGGTAGTACTGCTGAACCACTTATATCTTTTTGATTTTGAAGTGGTCAGTGTGACAAAGACCTTTTGACACTAGCTGTGTTTATCAGATTACGTTCCAGTGCTAGAAATCAGTCTTCACACAGTTCTCTGCTACAAGTTGTCAGAAGCATCTCACCACCCTACTGGGTCTGTGTTACAGATTCAGCAGGCTTTGATTAAATGCTAATTCAGAGCAGCAACAATTAGAAGAGAACTTTGTTACAAAGTTGTAGAGTTTTAACGGCCTTACTCCTCAGCCTACTAAGAATTAAATGAGGGCCAATAGAAGCTGATACACACTTAGAACCTTATGCCCCTTCTGAACTAACAAAGTATATTTTTATAAATTGCCCTGTTTGGGGCTGGCCTAGAGCTCCCGTTGGTCTGGCAGCAGGAGGAGCTGCAGCCCCCTGAGACCCCAGGGGCTCCCCAGGGCCCAGTGCCCTCACCTGTGTGCGGGGGCGGGGGGAGCACAGCTGGAGGGCTGGGCCCCGATTGGCTGATGGTCCATGTCATGTGACATTGTGCTCACTATATAAAGGCAGGAGTGGGCCTGGAGGGGCTCTCACTTCTGGGAGTGTTGCTGTGGGGCCTTTGTGTTGGGGATGGCTGGCTGGGAGCAGGTGGGTGTCAGTTGGTGGGTGGTGAGCAGCTGTATGGTACATTACCTGCAGATACTGCTGTCAGCGTGTTGTTCTGTTACTGTTATTAAGCTGTTTTTCTCTCAACCTGCGAGTCTCCCTTTGCCCCTCCGATTCCCTCCCCATTCCCAAGTGGGGGGAGGGTGGGTGAGCAGCTGCTGGGCATTTAGCTGCTGACCAGGCTCAAACAACGACAATACTGAGTACAAATACAGGTGATAAACATTTCAAAGATGTCTTATGCCTTAGCATCAGAAATAAAAGTTTTTCTAATAAAAATGAATTAATGAATTGTCTAGAGATAAAGAACAGGTGGATTTGTCAAGTCTCAGAAAATTAGTTTCTACAAAGCTATGATGACAGTTCAATTTTTACAGAACGAAGCTTCCTAGCTGGTACAGTTGGATGCTTATAAACTCAGTTGGCTGATAGGCCACCATACCAGGCTACTGCACCCACTTTCACGCCAGGCTAGGTCTGTTGTGCCAACAATAAGTTTTGTTTGGTGGGGGTTAGCCATACCCCCCCCAAAAAAATAATATTGTAGTATGTAGGAAAGAAAAGATTTAGTGGGCTTGAAGACCTGACTTTATATAACTGATATTCAGCCATATCATCTCATTGTAAGAGCATTCAGAGAATAGAACTGTGTTGTTTTCTTTTTCACTAAAGAGTAGATAAAGGCTCATGAGCAGAGAAAACAATCTAAGTGTCCTGTGTTCACACTCCAAAACAGGAACAGTAAAATTAGAGCTCATTTCCTTTGACCAAATTAAAGGACTACAACCATCCTGTCACAAAATAACATAGCTGATGTTAGGCAATGGTTGTCTTGTTGAATTAATTCAACATTTAAATTTTCCTAGAGTTGGCATAACATATTACACAAGTTCAGATTTTCCTTTAAACTTTTTCAATTCTTTGTAGGCTAGATATGACTTTCCTGTGAGTCTATACCTAATTCTCTCATACTTCTCATACCTTTATTTCTGGGTGAACATTTCTATGTATAAAATTTACTCAGACCTATTCAGCCATGAACATCCAGAAAAGCCAGCAAAATTATCCTCCCCCAAACCATTAGTAGCTAATAGAAAGATGTGGACTAAGTATGTATTCTAGTTCCTTTCCATGTTTCACAAAGAAGAAGAAAAAACCACGCTGAAATGCATTAGGAAGAGCCTTAATTATCTGCAAGAGATGAAAAAAATAAATGCTTATTGGAAGCTGTTTATTCTCACAGAAAAAAAAAGATTGTCTTAACTTCAGTGAAGACTGTATTTCAAATGTCTATATTAGTAGTTTCCTAAAGAAGTTTTAAACCCAGCACTGATGCTTTGTTGATAAACTATGTAGAGAACGGAAATACTGCAACTGTTGGAGAAAACTTAAAACTTAAGGAATATTGGATGGGAAACCAGAGGAAAGATTTGAAGAGGGTAAGTTATTAAATAACAGGCAAGAAACTTCAGCAACTACGTTCCACATAGCTGGAAATAAAGAATGATTAGAACACCACAAAAACAGTAAAAGAAGAGCATAAGAGCTTAAGTAAGACTTTAAATGAAACTGTCCTTTATTTCCTACTGATAAATTTCCTTTCAATAAACCTTGACTTTATCGAAGGAGCTCAAATAAATAATTACCCCAGCATTATACCTTGAAACCACTTCTTCACAAACTGCAAGAGATACATAGGTTTGCTAGCTTTAGTGTACTAAGTACATTAGATCCTAAAGTACCCTCACATATTGATGATGCTCCTCTTTACCCGATTATCTGAAACAGCCTGAGGTACCTTGTTAGTGACACTCACCAAGTCACTAGGTCAAATCTGAGCTTGCCAGAAACAACATACAAACTCTTTAGTCCCTCCATACACAAAATACCTCATATCTGGTCACATTCCATTAAATATCCAAAACTCATCATCTTTGTGTGTAATAGGTAGGGTGAAGACTTGGGTTTGAAGGTTTTTTGTGCATGTGGAAGAAGTGTAGTAAGTGATCTTACCTGAAACCTGGAAATCCTAAGGAATCATTTTTATTAACAACTGTAAGACTTTTTTTCTTGTGACATTTCAACATCTGAATCTCTTCCCTGATTATAATTTTTTTAAATGAGGCATTTATTCTCACTAATTGTCTCTCATTTTAGGCTTGATTATGCAAACAGGGTAAAAGCATTCAAAGAACCATCTCATTTCAACACAAGCAACATTCTAGTGCTTTCTCAGCATCAAGAGAAAAGCACAGTAAGCTTCAAACTTTGAAAAATAAATCAGTGGCAAAGGTCGATGCTGCCACCATGTGGTACAAAAAGAACAAAATTATCAGTTTCTACATTTAATAAAGGTCCACGTACTAAGAAAAATGTTTCCAGCACAACTTTAATTATTGTTATCTACTAACCTGTTAAATTGCTGCAGCAAAAATTAACACAGATGTCAGTCAAATCTCAGAAGGCTGAAGCCCTCCTGCAGAATTTTATTAAATTAGAGCACATTAAATGCACAATGAAGGAAAGTGCTCATGTAAATTGAAGTTAACAGGTTTTATTTAATTTCCATTATGACCAGAGATGATAACACAAAATAATGCTGAAGAACACAAATGGACAATTTTTTTGACTACTTTTTTAAATTCGATCAGAAAGAAAAGAGCAAATAATATTAAACATGATAATCCTGTATAATTAATATATCTTTATACCTGATTATTCCATAAGTAGATTTTGAGGAAAAAAGGTGGTAAATAAAGAATCGTATCAGAAGTAGTAAAATGACAGTGGCATCTAAATCCTTGATAGCCATGACTTGGATAAATATACTCTGGGTACCTGAAACAGTCTTTTCACAACTTCAGATTTATGTGGAATTAAGCCAAAATACAAATCATACTAGCTGTATACATACTAACAATACTATAAATACTCACAAATACCTTGAACAACATCCTCCTTATACTGTTCCAACTCCTTTACTCTTTGAAAATAAAAATTAAATATATTTAGGTAATTTGTTTCTCTACTTCTGGCATTTATATCTTACCTGAAATCAAATTATCTTTTTTATTTTATATAGAAATATATAGGGAAATTAAAATACAAGAAGTGGAAAAAGCATAGCAGAAAATTTGCAACTCCAAAGAATTCTTAAAAAAAAAAAAAAGACAGCACTTTTATAAATTAAAACAAAGGATGAAGCAAATTACTACCAAGACATCACCATCTCAAAAACTATACACTAAATCATCGTTGTGTCTTCAACTACTGCTGGATGGACCTTCTGCCTCAGCTTCCCCACCTTGAGCCTTGTTCCTCACAACACAGCTGGTAAGCCTGTCCTGAACAGTCTCATGAGCAAATCTTGCAGGGTAACCATAACATAAAATTAGCTGTTATGCAAGTACATATATAGCATGCTTCCCTTTTCCCTCCCACCCTGCCCCTTCATCCTCCCAGTAGTTTTTATACAGCAAAGCTTTTATACCTGATACAGTATAATGCTTTGGAGAATAAGTTTTTTGCAATAGATATATATATTTACACAGTTCCTTAACTGAGGTAATTAAGGTGCACAGACCTCTGTCAGACACTTCAGTTGGGATTTGTACCCACTTAGTTCTTCTGTTAGGCTTTCCTTTTTCATCTGTAGATCACTTAGCTCTTTTCTTAAGGAATGGACTGCTTCATAGAATCGGATCTAGAAGAACAGTATATATATATATATATATATTAAAAATTGAGACTAGCAGAATTGCAATTGCAAAACTACAATCCCAAAACCAAATCAGCTCAACATTTAACGTCAATAATTCACCAAATGATTTCTAGTGCATACCAGGAACTTGGTGGGGGCTGGGGGGATGTGGAAATGTAAAAGCAAAGACAATGTCTTTCTTTAGCCTTTGACAGCAGTAGCTAAGAAATAATGTCTGTGTTTGGCATAGAATTCAAAAAAAAAGAGCAATAAAGGTAAAGATATACATTTCCATCCAATTAAGGCAGCTCCCAGTCAGGCTGCCCAATTAAAAAATACAGCTGCTAATGGACCACTTACTCCCACCCTCTTACTTGTGCCAACTCTAGAGCCTATTTGATTAACAGCGTAAAAAGAAGAAAAAAAAAGCCTGTTTAGCACTAGCCTGTTTAGCACTGTTTAGCAATAAACCAACTTAACTTGCTACCTTCCCGCAAGACAATATGAATTTTTATGGGGTGTGTAGAAATGATGAGAGATTAGTTTTGTTTTCTGACAGTTCAGTGTGCTGAATCTGCATGAAGAAAAATGCAAGAGCAAGCACAGGAACAATGCAAAGAAGTGGTAACAGCACCGTGACACACCCCACACACACACTTTCAACAGTAACATGTTGCTATATGGATTCATCTGCATCATGCAACTAGGCCTCTGAAACTCTTTTCTGTTAAATTAATATTGAAAAAAAAAATAGCCTTGTAAAAGGATTTAAAAAAAAAAAAAAAAGGATCTATAACACATACTCCTATTTTTCCCAACTCCGGTCATTGTCATAGTTTCAGACAATTAATTTTCAGATCCATAAAACTTTTCCAGAGCATTTCTACTAAACAAGAAAAAATACTAGAAAATACAGTAGTAAAACCACAGTAGTAAAAAACAGAAACAAAACAAAGAAGAAAGAACTTTTTTGATATACACCCACACACACACAGATTATTGCTCCCAGATTAACTTGATACTTTAAAAATGTTTGTTTTGGGGGATGAAAAGAATAGATAATTAAGCAGTATTTTCATGCAAAAGCTACTCCATACCCCCCATCATTAATGCTTTGTTTGATACATGATTAAAGAAGAAATACAAGCAAGAAAGCACAGATAAAGTAAGCATTCAAGAGCAAGCTGTACTACACTTCCACGTAGAAGACAGACAGGTCTCTGTTTTGCTACCTGTAAATAGCAGAAGACAAAAAAGTTCCAGGTATATTCCATACAGTTGACAGCATACAATTCTAAAAAAACACAGAAGCCATGAAAATTTATGATGTAAACATAGGTGGAGTTTGCTTTACACAATAAAGCAAGTGGGCAACATGATTGGAAGATTATTAGTACGGCAGAAAAGTGAAATTTTCCAAAAAGTGGGGTTTATTTTTTGTTTGTTGTGGGGTTTTTTCCAAGGTTTTTCACAGACCATGCTTGTTAAAAGTTGCAGTTGTTTGAATTTGTTATACTCAACAAGAGAGCTCCAATTTTATCCTTACCTTTAGTTGCAAAACAAACATAAGCTAAAACAGGATATATGCTATAAATTTAAAGTTACTTTTTATTGAAAAAAAATACAAGCTTTCCCAAAATATAGTTGCTATTTTAATTTTTTTTTAAGATGGTAACAAGAGATTCTCAATTCATTATGCATAAGTTTACACATAAAATGAACAAACTTAAGGATTGTTTTTAAAACTACAATCCAATTAAACCCAAATTAATCACTTTTTTGGTTCATGTTCTGCAAATTCCAAATGACAAATTGAACTATCAGATGCTACAGTTAAAACTACAAATTGCCTTTTTCTTCTGGGATGTGAACCAACTGCTTATTATTGCCTTATTTTACAGCTTCATTATTGTTTTTCTCTTGCAGTATTCTATTCCTTCAATATTTCAGGAGCTTTTTCACATTCATCTGTGAAATCACATTGCTTCTAATGGGATTGCATTAAATCAAACAGTGAAGTTAGCTTTGTGGGTTCTTTCTAATTTCCGAGGTACAACAGACTTAAACTACTTCCTTAGGAAAAACCCCCAAACTTTAGAAATGTGCACGCAAAGCAGCGACTAAGTACTATTTTAGTCTCTTAGCTACAGCTTCCGTTGACTATAGTTTTCATCTATCTGGATTCTTTAAGAACTTGTCTGATTACATCTGAAACCAAGCAACTGAATTTCAATCAAATACTTTACTTTTCCCCCCCAAAAAGTAATAATATTTTTTTCCTTAAAAAAATAACCTTGATCATCACTAATTGGTAACCATTTGAAACACTGTTTTGTTTTTTTTATTTATTCACACCCAGTTTCTCCCTTAAATTTTTATATTTTTACTGTGATTTCCCTAGAAAACATAACTTACACCATCATGACACATTCCCAAACCACAACAAACCTAAAATAGATTACCCAGTATCAAACCAAGATGATATGGGATACAGGTATTAAGGATAAACATATCTGCACAGCCTTCCCAACAACAGATCAGTCCATGGTAATAAGAAAGTGCAAATGAGGGGAAGGTTGTAGCAAAAGTTCAACTGTTACTGTTATTTAGCTTGCTTGATGGTCAATAAACATTCATGTAACTCAGCAGCTCAAACCATACATTGCTTCTTGTCAAGTTCATACACCAAAACCAAAAAATTAGTGTAATGGGATTTCAGAAACAACTGCATATCTTAAAAATTACAAATTTATATAGATGTGCTGTGAGGAAAAAGTTACCACTTTCTACACAATTTTTAAGAAACTCTGAGCATAAGCCCACCACTTTTTACGGAAAACTAGCTAAGCTAAAAATGGGTGGGTGCAGAGGATGAGAAAGTTGGCTTCTGCTAAATGAAGTTCTGTGAAAGTAGTTGCATCAGTGAACTGCCCTCTTAAATAGCAACTGCGCTGTAGTTAGCAAAATGATGCAACTGAAAGAGATGGAGATTCAAACTGGATCAAACAGAATTTACAGATACCATTTTTACACAACCTGGTGAAAAACTTTTACAGAAGAGTACACAAGAGGCTTACTTTACTGGACAAATTAAGTCATTTGGCTGCCAAGCACCAGTTCAACGACTTTAAGTGCTTTAAAATTTTGCATATACTGTTTCAAAAGTAATTTCTATAAATGGTTAAAAAAATCTAAATTTTTGCATATAAGTTCAAAAGAAAAAAGCATGTTTTTAAGAGAAAGATGCTTAAGACATAATTTTTCATTTGTTATCATCATTAACATTAAATATTGCTTGGTCTTCACTCTAACATGTCACTATTGCACCCCTTTGTGGAAGAATAGTGAAAAACATCTCATATTTGTTTTAATTCTAGCATTTTAAACTTGCAATATCTCTATAGCCAAAATCTTTATTTAAGCACTTCCTGCTGTTTGTCCAGTATACCAGGTTTCAAATAAAGTATAAGCATTATATATACATTTACTTCTATGCTGGAAAACTGTAAGGCAGTATTTTCTAATTGATAATTAGAAAAAAGAGTGGAAATTTCCTGGTCAAGTTTTCTCTAAGCTGAACTCTCACGCCAAGGAGAATTTTACCCTAATATCAGTAGGCTATACTACTAGTCTGCACATAGATCGGGAGCCAGAGATTTTATGAGACTGAGAAATGCCCAATTCTTCCTTAGGTAAGCAAAGCAGAAAACAGCATCGGAAAAATTACTTTTTGCCTTCAACATCCATTTCCTAGCCTTCAGAAGTCAAACAGATGCACAGACAGGATATGCAAAACAGTTCTGTAGCCTCCCAGCATCTGTATCAGCTGAATAACTCAAAGTAATGATAAACAATCATTGAGTTTAACTAATACTGATTCTGTTGCCAAAAGAAGTTGCCAAAGAACTTGAGAGAAGGAGCAGAAAACAGCATCTTACTACAGTGTATCTTTAGAATGTCTTCTACAGAAAAAAATAAAATAAAAATAATTTGGCCAAAAAAGGACCAATTCAAAAGTAAAAAGTGACGTATCTTTAAAGAGGAAGGGGGCCTCACTGAATACATAACTAAAAGAGTTTGATTCACAGACAAAAGTCGCATTTATTGGTTGAACACAAGAGGAAAAGAAAGGTAGATTAGGGGTAGAAGGTGGCTGTTACTTGCCTCTCCTGCTTCACATCTTTTTAGAGCCCCTTTTTACTCACAAATACAATCTAAGCACTCTAACTGTGCTGTGAAAGCTTCACTTAAAGCAGCTGGGAAGGTTACTAACTCCTGGTGTCTGTCCTGCCTAGCTACACCACAACCTTTTGTACTGACTGTCAATCAACTCCTGAAGCACTGGAGCTTCCTGCACATCAATTTCAAGCAAGCTGGCATGGATTTCAGTTTGTGTTAAAAATCTGCTTTATCAACCACGGTGGTGCAGAAGTCAACAAAAACCCCTCAAATCCTTCTATAGAGGGCAATGAGTGCGGTAGACAGCTAGGGGTTAATAACCTAATAGGCTGCAAGCTAAGTGTCCTTGTTTATCACTCAGAGCCTTAAGATTTTCCTAGCACTTTCAAAAGTCCAAATTTTAGAACTTTTGAAAAGATGTACCCAAGAACATCCTTTAGATAATAACGACAACTTTTACTTCTCTGTACATATTTAGAGCACAGTATTCCATGACTTTCACCCAGCAAGAGAACTCATTCACGCAGCATTTATACTTTAACAAATACACTAAGCTTTTTAACATTATGTTATTTGCAGTTTCCTTAATAACTAGCTCTATAGATAAGTACAATGTTAATACTTTGGTGAATTAAGGTTCATCTGTCTAAATCTTCTTCATTCACAGAAGTGAGCCCAGATGATCTAAACATGTCCCATGGCCTGTGAAGGCATAGCCTTTTATTGCAAGCAGAGTATACCCCTGCCCCTTCCTCTACCCATAAACTTTAATTAACAAACTTCTTAAATCAAGAAAATAAGTCCTAAAGTAGACTTTGAGGTACACTTTATTGCCTGCTTTTAGTCAGGTAGGAAAGGGCCAGATGGAAAACATGAGGGAAATGTAAGAGATGTTTGCAAGAGCCATCTCACCTTGCGGTTCTGGCAAGCTGAGTTTCAAATTCCTATATTCAGCCTGCTGTATTTCATATCATCAAAGTGTGCCCACCATTTAATTGTAACACCCTATCTAGTTAACCTTCTTAATACAGATCAGCAGTTTAATCTCTTTAAAACATCAGAGTCTGGGATTAAAAGGTTCCCCTCTTTACTGGAATCCAGTCGTAACAGACCGATCCAGAAGCACATCTGCCTCTGAAGTTCCTTTATTTCTAGTTAGGGAAGAATAAGTATTCTAAGAATACAGATAGGCTTCTATTATATACGCATCCCTTTAAATTGTAAACAAAAACAATTTACTACTTGTGGTGTGTTGACCCTGGCCAGCAGCCAAGCACCCATAAGGCTGCTCGCTCACTTGTAGCCTCCAGTGGGAGCAGAACAGAGGGAGTGAGAAGAATGAAAGCAAGAAAACTGAAGTGTCAAGTTTTCTCTACAGTTTAATTAGTGAAGGAAGGAGAGAGGTGAATTAAAAAAAAAAAAGCCACACAAAGACAATGACTAACCACCTCCCACAAGCAGACAGATGGTCAGCCAGTCTCTGAGCAGTAACCACCTTGGAAGCCACACCCCACCTCCTCTTTCTTCCTCCACCTCCCGTTTATATTGTTGAGCATGACCTTAGGTGGCATGCAATATTCCCTTGGGTAATTCAGGTCAGCTGTCCAGCTGTGTCCTCTCTCAATCTCATGACCACCCCTAGCTCACTGGGGACAGGGGGAGGCAGCATGGGGAAAAGAGTAAGCCTTTATAAGCTAGCTGTGCAAGCACTGCCCAGAAATAGCCAAAACATTGGTGTCTTACCAACACTGTTTTAGTCACAAACCTGAAGCACCACAAGATTCAGGCTCCTGTGAAGAAAGTTAACTCCATCCCAGCCAGACTCAAGATACAGTTATGTTTTAAACCAATAGAAAACACAATACTCACAGAAACATATTCAGGGATAGAAAGCTGACCGTCGGGAAGAGCCTTTAGCTTCTCATAGCAATCATCTGTTAATTCCAAGTCTCGCAAACTACGACGGATATCTCCAGCCCTCTCCCTTAGTTGATGATTTGTTTCCTCCAGTTGCTTCTGTCTCAATAAAATAGTTTCCATTTCTTGTTTCATTAGAGCCTGGTGTTTTCTTCAAGATTGATTTGAAAACAGAAGACATTAAGTAGCAAGCAATACAAGTGACAAACTTTCACAATACCCTGGCAAGGGACTGAGTTACAACCATTAGGTAGACGGTAAAATTTACAGAGAGTTTAGGTAATTAGCACAAGAGTGCATACCACCATGGTTACACAATCTTATTCAGACACAGTATATATGAAAAGACAGGAACTTCATAGTCATTGACGATACAAAACTGGATCTGAGAAGTAACCATCTCCACATATGCTGACCTGAATTTATAAATTAGTCTTAAATTACCAAAAGGTTAAAAACATGAAAAAGCAGAATATACTTCCACACAAAACCTAAGGAACAAGCAAATCACCAAACAATGTAATAGTAACTTCAATTTGTGTATTACCAAGTTTCGGTCTATTTCACACTCAACCCTTTATTTTCTACTGAGTGTAACATACAAAGTTGGGGTTCTTTTAAAAAAACAAACACAAACACTACTACATTTGAACAAGCAACCTTGTTTCCAGCCTTAAAACACTGTCATTACTATTAGCACCAGTGTCAAGGTTATATGACAAGAGAAACTGCATGTCACTTATAAAATTAAAAAAACACTTTCAAACATTTTCTTTACTTAAATCAATGGTGACCGACCACATTTTTGGAGGTTTTAGCTGTAACTCTTGAAAACATATGCAAATGAAATAATTCTCCAAAACTCAGTAATTCCTACATTATTTGAAAAGTAATATTAAAAACTAGCTAGTACTACAAAGTGATGTCAGTCCCACTGGTTTCAAAAAGACAAAAGAAAGTCCCAGGTCAGCAAAGCAGTCACACAAGGGCATATTCTACACATAGTGTACAATTCTGCTAAATGGGGCTGAAAAGTGAGGTAAAGACAGACAGGTGAACTAGTGAAAAGATTGGGGAAAGGAAAGTAGTTCAAGTTTTTTTATGCCTATTAAGAATAATTTGCACATCAGTACTTTTTTACTGAGCACTCCTCAGATAATTCAAGTATGGCCAACATAAAAATATTCCACTCTCGTGCAAATAACCATGCAGAATGACAAACATTTTTCTGACATTCAGCTGCTTCCAGTTGAAAGACTTTACTGTAACTAATCTCAGGTCTGGCTTCACATCCCTAAATCTGTTCTAGACTTACTACAGAATATGACTTGGAATTAGTCACATCCTGTAAACTGGTGCATCCTCTACTGTAACATGAGACTATTAAGTAATGCTCTTCCTTCACAGGTGTTAAAACATTTAACTTGAAGTAATTTGGAGAACCCTGCTAGACAGCCTATTTTCAGCTATAGGTTAACTTAAAATGTTTCAGGAACACAGGATGAAAAGTAAGTTTCTACGTTATCAACCAAAAGCATTTCTGACCAATAAGCAATCTTAATTGGAAATGCTAAACATTATCCCTTTATCTTTCACAAGTCATCTAGGCTACTGAGTTATTAAAAATTCAGTTTAAACTGATGGAAAGTCTGCCCCCTCTACCTACTCCTTTTGCTCTTTATTGCTTTTAAGAACATTCTTACTCACAGTTCCTATTAAATTTTGAATCCTGGTAACTACAAAACCAAAACCACAAACTGCAGCCAGTGAGAGTTTAATTCAGATTTACTTATATGCAAATTAAAAATGTACATTCAATTTTTAGAATGGAAATACTAATATAATCTGCAAAATAAATCCTACTCCTGCAATTCGTAATCAGTTTCCTTTAGCTGTCCATTAATTAATTTGAGTTCATATTGGTAAATTATTAAAAATGAAGTTCTTAGTTTTACTTCCATCATACCTCGCATCTTCTTGCTGTAATGCCAGCTGACTATCCAGTCGTAAAGACAACAGCTGCTTTTGATGGATTGCATCATTAAGCTTCTCTTCTAGCTCTTCAATCTAAATATAAAGAATATAAGTGTAAAATGAAGAAAAGAAGCCACCTTGATAACGTTTAAAAAATATTTTACAAAAGGAACAACTTGAAAGAAAAAAGTGGAAAGCCCAATGCCACAGGAAGTATATTAATGATTGTCTAACAAGAACTCTAAATATACTAAGACTTCATAAAATATGATATGGATTTTGTCCTAACTAACTAAAAATAAAAAAGACTTAGTTCTAAAAATTATCTTTTTCAGCAAAATAGCTACCTGATCAGCTAATTTTCAAATGAGGCTTCAACTCAGCACAGCAACCTAGTGAAAGCCACAGTTAATATACAGTAGGTTGTAAATGTGGACTGCACACGTAAGTGGCAAAGCTTTTACACCTGTCTTAGTTTCATGCATCTTAGTGGAAACTGTACACAACAAAATCTCCTATTATTAGCACGTTGATATATTCTAGCTACAACTTCATTAATAGACCACTGAATAATATTCAGATTACTTTTTCTAGTATTCCACAAGCTCAAGTTAAAAGCCCTATTAAGCTGCTTACAACAGTGACAAAACCATTCTTCATTTCTGAAAGCAAACAGCTCTTTCTCCTTTGTTTTTAAACAAGGAAAAACTAATTTGACCCCGCATCATTCATTTATAAGTATGATGACTTGGACAAGCCAGCTAAGCTCTCCATATTTCTGTTTCCTCATTTTCTCATTAAAAAACAACAAACAAAACCAACCAACCAAAAACATACAGAAGGCAACTAACTAGGCTTCCACCATGCAAACTACAGAAATTCTCCTCAGAACAGAAGTTTCTACCATACTCCAAAAGCACTAGAAACAAGAAAATATTATACAACGAAAGGAGCAACACTTCTTACCTTGGTCAAATATTCTACTTTCAAGTTGTCAATCATCAAGTTTTTCTGAGATAACTCTATTTTAAGCAGCTGAAGATTATGGAGCAACTCTTTCCGTTCAATCAGCTGCTTCGTGACTTTAACAGTACCTTCTCTCTCTTCAGAGGAAGAGACATCATCAGTTGGTATTGTGGTTTCTAAGCTAATATCTTCAGACTCCAAGGAGCTAGAAATGTTTACTTTTCTGATTTCCTTAGAGCTTTTATGTGACATTTTCTTCACTATTTTTGAAGTTATAATTTGAGATGAACTCCTTGAAGAATCAGCTGCAAGAATCAAAACAATTAAGTAAAAGGTATTATATCGTTATGGAAAATTAACCAGTTAAACAAGACCGCTAAGCAATACTTCTAGACATCACATGACTATGTATTTTTGTTCACCCAAGGAAAACAATTTTCGAAGCTCTTAAGTGGGCAATTGCCCGAGGACTCTCTTCCTAAATAATTATTAGCAAGACTGCAATAAACTAAATACCGGTGTGAATCAAGCTCACTTGTAAGACGTTACAGCTAAATCAAGATGTGCACCTGCCATTCACGCTGTCGGAAGAGCAATGCCCCGAAAACTCCCGAGGCGTACAGTGCCAGCGAACGCGCAACGTGGGGCACCGCGAGCCTCGCCGGAGCAAACGGCAGAGGAGTAACTTCAGCGGTCACCTTCCTCTTGCCTGCAGACGTAGCGCTGCTGCTCTCACCCGGCTCGCTCACCGAACAGCCGCAGGTGCTTTTACAACCGCCCGGCACCGACCGCGGCCCTCACCGAGGCGGCGCACGGGCTAACGCGCGCTGCTGGGAGCCCCACAGAGAGGGGAACGCTGCGCTCGGAGCCCAGGCCGGCGCCAAACCCCTGACAGCACCCACCCCCCACCCCCTTTTTTTTCCCCCGTTCTCCGCGGCAGGAGGAGATGCCGCTCTACCCGCTGCAAACCCCAGCGCTGCGGGAAAGGCAACTGCCCGACCGGTAACAGCAGCGGGGGGGGGGGGGGGGGGGAAGGCTGCCGCGAACACCGGGGGAAAGGCCCTCACCTCCGGCGGCGGCGGCGCATGCGCGGCCCCTCAGGGCGGCTGGGGGGGGGGGGGGGGCGGGGCCGCGCGACGCCATCACCACGGCGACCGAGGCCGGGAGTGGGGGAAGGGGAGCGACCCGGCAGGCCCCGCGTGCCGCCGCGCGCCATGCTGACCTCGCGGACCTTCCTGAAGCGCACGCGGGCGGGCGCCGTGGTGAAGGTGGTGCGCGAGCACTACCTGCGCGAGGACATCCCGTGCGGCGCCGCCGCGTGCCGCCTCTGCCCGCCCCGCCCCGCCGGCTCCGCGCCCACCGCCGGCCTCCAGCCGCGGCCCCCCGGCCCCGCCAGCAGCCTCTGCCCCGCTCCGCACTACCTGCTGCCCGACACCAACCTCCTCCTCCACCAGGTGAGCGGCCCCTCGGCGGCACCTTGCCTCTCGGGGGGGGCCCCGCGCCCCTCCACCGGGCCCGGCCGGGCCTCCCGCACCCCGCCTCAGGCCTGGGATCCACGCACCGCTCCTGGAGAGGCGCCTCTAGCAGTGCTCAGGCGGGCTGAGGCCTTCCCCTTATCGCTTGTGTCTGCTTGAGCCCTGAAGGCTTTATTTCCTTCTTTGCCCGCTGCTGAGGAGGCCTTCAGCATCACCGCGTCGCATCTGCTTTTAGACGAGATTCCGGTTTTACGTTTTGCTGCCTGAACGGTAGGAGTGAAGAACAGCGAGGATTTTTTTGTTTGTTAGAGTCTGGTATGGGTAGGAAATGTCGGGGGAAGAGAGCCGATGTGGTTTACGCTGCAGAGGAGCGCAGCGCTTGCGTGTTTTAGCAGTTACTCATCCCAAAAGTTGCAAGTAAGGATTTTCTTCCCAAAACAGGAAGTCGAAGAATGTTTTCAGCCTGTTACCCATGGACTTCTTCGTGTTTGTTGGTAAAGTTTGTATATACGTGCTGTAGAGCTCCCTGAGAATGTGCCAGACTATGCTGCCGTGAACTGGGGCAGCGGGGATTAGGAAGTCACGGTAACAGTAACAGTTTACCTTCTCCTTTAGCAACGGGAACAGGATTGCAACAGAAAGCCATGGGCTGGTAATTTAGCTTGTGCGTAAAATAATATTGAATTTTTTTGCCCGATGAGCATGGCTCTAAGTCTTAAGTTATCTGAATATGAGGTGCAGAGAAACTTGGTCTGGCATTGTTTTTAATAGAGTTTTACTGCTGTCTCTTTCTGGAGGTGGGGTTGCACAGTTCCTTGACACAAGTTTATGAAATTAAGCTCACCTTTTTTTTCCTGACAGGAGCATGGATTTTTGGTGTACATTTGTGTCTCTTGCACACCACTGCTCTCAGGAGTTGGCAAACAAAAGTGCTGAAAAATTTTAAACAAATTTCCTCCAGAAAAATTGTCTTTGAAAAGGTGAAGAGCAGCTAACACAACTCCAGTTGATTTGAATCTGCAGAAATTAAAATTACAGTGCATCAGTGGGATTGGTTTCGGGGAATTTAAGCCTACACGTGCACAGGCCCGTCCATGTTAGATGTGTAACAGTGGTCAGGTACTATTTTATGGTTTGCATTGCTCACAGAGACATATGCCAGACAGTCTTTAAATTACATTGGATTACTGTCAGAATGTGCATAGATGTATTTTGTTTATGAAGACTATAATTTAAAAAAAAACATTTTATGTAAATAAAATTTCTAGTGTACACCTGGCCTTAAATTTGATTGGAGTCCTGCATATGTTGTGGCTGAATTTGGTGGAAGTCAGAATAAGCCCTTAATTTGGCGCCAGCAAAGTTCAGGTCACAAAGAGGCTGGAAAATCCGATTTGAACTTTTTGCCCACAAGCAGGAAGAAGCAGCTTGATACACTGTTCGGTCTCCCAGCAGTGAGAGAAAAAGGCAGAAGTAGTGCAACTCATTATTCACGTTAGATTTTTATGTATTAACCAAACGAATATTTCAAGTCCTGTTATTGAACAGAATTAAACAACAATTTTGATTTATTTTCATTTTGTTCCTCAGATTGATATACTTGAAGATCCTGTTATTAAGAATGTCATTGTGCTGCAGACAGTCTTACAAGAAGTCAGAAATCGGAGTGCACCAGTATATAAGCGAATTAGGGACGTGATTCAAAATCCTGAAAAACATTTCTATTCTTTTACCAATGAACATCATAGGTAAGGTGTGGAATAGGGTATAATAAAGTTGTACTGATGTCTAGTAAAAGAAACTGGAAAACAGAACTGGAACATGTGAACTAGGTAAAAAAATTTGACTGGGCTACATGGAACTGTATACCTCTAAGAAATCCTACTGAGTAGTAGTTGCATCTTCCAAGAGCTTTTCTGGTTTATAATTAGTATGAGCATATGTGTATTACGAAAAGGTGATTGGAACGTTGAATAGTTTGCAGACAAGACTGTTAACTTGAGCAATGGAATTGAGCAATGGAGTTTTACTGTCCCTTTTAAACATACTCCAATGCTTTATTAATGTTGTCAGCTTAGTCTGCAGTGGAATGCAAAAAATCTATTAGTCAGTGACAGAAAGCTCAAAGAAGTGAAGGTGCAATTAATTTGCCTTTATTTGTGCTCACATGTAATTTCCAACACTGCAGTATTGTGGTTCTAGGAATTGCAAATCTATAGTTCTAGCATCTTGAATGCAGTCCTCTTCAATTGTCAGTGAGATGGTTGTATTAGAAATTAACATTTCCTTCCTATTTTTTCTTTACCTGTCTCCTGACCCTTCAGTGGCCTATAGTGTTACACATGTTCTAAAAATCGGTAAAGAAATGATTCTGTTGGCTTTACAGCCTTGTTCTTGTTTGTCTGAAAAGTTTTTGTAAGGATGGATAGATGTTGGTATTTGTTTTGTTCCCCCCTCCCTTTTAATTATTTATTTACATAGAGAAACATACGTAGAGCAAAGGAAAGGAGAATCTTCTAACGACCGCAATGACAGAGCCATTCGGGTAGCGGTAAAATGGTACAATGAACACTTGAAGAAAATAGAGGATGAGGAGCCAATTCAAGTTATCTTTTTAACAAATGACAGAACTAATAAGGAGAAAGCTCTGGAGGAAGGGATAACTGCTTATACTTGTAAGTGAAGTGGAATGTATGTTTAATTTATTGCTCAGATACACAGTCTCAGCAGTCTCTTCATACCTAAATCCCGTGCATCTCTTGCATAAATATTTATGTGTCTGCTTTTTGTAGGTGAGGAGTATATAAAAAGCTTGATATCTAGTCCTGATCTTGTAGATCGTCTTGCTTGTGTATCTGATGATGGGGTATGCTTTTATTTTCTCTTACAAAAATAAATTAATGACAAATGGTTTGCAGTATATTATTGGACACTGTATGTCAGGCTACTAGCATCAGTTCAGAATCTGAGCACTCTGGACTTTATCATCATTTTGGCAATATAACTTTGACAGATGAAAAGAAAAAAGGAAATACTGCAGCTGTTTTTACTGCTTCTTAAATACCTATTAGTAGGTATTTAGTTATTTGTAAAAATCTGTTTGCTTTAGAGAACTGATGTGAAAATGGGAATAATAACAGTTGGTTAAAGAAAGTGTATAAATTTTAGAAATGATGGAAACAAAACGAAAACTACAGATGTGTGTATTGCAAACCATTTAGATCTTTGTATTGTATCTGTTGTTTGAAAGTTTATGTTAAGTTATTGTCAAAAGCATTTTCTATCAAAAGCTCTTATTTTTCTGGTCAGTTGACGTAAGTGCAGGCTGCAGCTCAAAGATGAGCTACATCCTCTTCTATTTCCTTGTGCTTTGTGTTTATCAGAATCAAGACTTATATTTTCACCTAAGACTGACCTAGCTGAAAACTGACACCACCAAGAAAATGGGAAGGTTTATTGCATCAGAATTGTTTCTTACAGAACAGAGTGGGACATGCAAGAGTGGGAAGAAAGTGGAGAGCTCAGCTGATGTTCTCAGCTGTTAGCTGTAGTTCATTCAGCTTTAAATAATTCTCCACTCCAAAGTTTAGTTACAGTAGTGTATTTTCATAAGGTTTCATATAGCTTATGGTACATACTTATACCGTGTGTTGTACTCTTTACTATGTAGTAGTATGCTAGTATTTTCTTCACTAGGTATATGTTTAGTCAGTATATCCAAATCAACATAAAAGCGTATGTCACTTGTGCAGTATTTTTGTAAGTAACTGCAGGCAGGCAAACAGGGAAAGAAAAAGAGGTGTTCCTAGAATTGCCACATTTCTATGTTTTTTTATGCTTTTTATGCTTCATTTGAGAAATTACTGCTTAATAGTGTTTTTTCATTATTGTGCATATTCATACTTACACATAGTTACAATTTTGGAGTGTGTTAGCTTGAGTGTCATACTTCTGAGCTTGGTTTTGGAATAATCATGAATACAAAAGATTGAAAATTTCCTTTTTTTTTTTTTTTTTTTTTTAATTGAAAGAAAGAAATAGAAAGTGGAAAAATAATTTTCCCAGAACATATTCCTCTTAGCAAATTGCAGCAAGGAATAAAATCTGGTGTTTACCTCCAAGGAACTTACAGGGCAAGCAGAGACAATTATCTTGAAGCTACTGTTTGGGTTCATGGAGATGTTGAAGAAAAAGAGGTGAGTTTTTCATTTTGCCTTCATGCTGTGAACTTTAATTTGCCTCAGTAATGGCTTAAGATGCAGTTATTTCATGGTGACATATGTTAGTATGGATCATTATAGTAATTTTTCCTCTTTGTTTTTTCTGACTTTTTTCTTTACTTTCATTTATATGTATATAGACTACTGAAATGCTGACTGTGCTCTTTTTGAAAAGATAATGTATTTAAAATTACACTTTGTGCTTTCATAAAGTATTTGGTAAAGTAAAGCTGAATCTTAGTTGTTAATAGTTTTTTAATTAACTCTAATATAAACCTTTTTTTTTGTAATTAGTTTGAAATAAATGGTGAGAGACAGAGAGACAAGTTTGCAGGAGTATTTTTCAGAAAATCTTTGGTGAGCCTTTGTGGGGCTCTCTTGCTTTATTTCCCTTGCTATTTTTGTGCCTGCTGATGAGTAGATGGCCTGTTTCCCTCCAAACAGTTAACCCATATGTTTGCCAGCTGGTTTCTCTGTTAGAACGGTTGTACAGACGCTGCAGGAGTTGCCTCCTCCCTCTCTATTTGTGGTGGCAGCTGGAGGTGCTTCTCTGGCTCTCAATTTCTTTTATTCCTATTTCTGAGTAGTGTATGGAACACCATAGCCTGCAAAAGTAGGAAGATTGTCTGATTTTTAAATTAAAAAAAAAAAAAAAAGAGTGTCTGGGGAAACCGAATTATTTTTACAGAGGCAATTGGAATCCTGAAATAATACCATCAAGCACTGAAAGCAACCTAGACGGAGGAAAAAAAATGCATCACAAAAATGCCTTCAAATGTTCTTTAGAGTACAAAGCCTGTTACACATCTATATTGTTTTGTTATACTGCTCTGATTTGGGTCTTCTGTTGCTGTCATCCATGAATATTTGCATTTCCATTTTGCTTTCTAAAAAATCCAGATAATTATACAGGGACTGAAACATTTAAACCGAGCAGTTCATGAAGATATTGTAGCTGTGGAGCTGTTGGCAAAAGATGAATGGGTGGCTCCATCCTCAGTGGTCTTGCAAGATGATGGCCAGAATGAAGACGACATTGAAAATGAAGAGGAGAGAGAAAACATTGTATGAAATAAATAACTCTTTACTGAACTCTTATGTTGAGAGAGATGAAATCTGCAGTACCCTTACAGTGTTAGGCTTTAGAGTTCTACATCCTTTTTTATACTATTGTGGATATGGAAATTGTAGAACTTAATTGTAGTTCCACAGTTATGTTAAATACATGGTTATGTATAAAATTAATACTTTCTAATTAATCCCAATCAGAAATTCTCACATTACTTTGTTAAACTTAATAAACCCAAAAGTTTCTGAGTGTTAGTCAGGTAATAATGTAAACCTATATACCGATGTTTAGATTAGGATTTGCTAGAGTAGGAGCAAGTGCTGTATCACGATGATGGTCAGCTTTTGTAGGCAATGCATACATTTGGAGCCAGTTGTAAAATATTCTTTAGCTTCTTGTAGTAATTCTGCCTAATGTGCATGCAGTGCACACACATGTATATACCCTGTTCAACAAATATTTGCATTTCTTCAAAAACATGATCTTCCCTCTGAATTCCATGGGAATGTTTTTTTAATTATCGTGTTTAGAATTACTGGATAATTTTAAAGCAATGTAACAGGGCTCCTAAAATTTAAAATAATATGTTGTAAAAGAAAATGGAGATAGTTGTGGAGTAAGCAGAGATGGTAGGACAAGACATCATTTCTTCAGTGTTTTTCTGTTGTTCTTTTTTTTTTCCTGAAACGATGTCCATTAATCCCACAACAGGGTAGTCATGACACATACTAAAAATATTAAAAGTCATGCAAAGCACAGGGAGGCGCATAGTTCAGTTTCTGAAGTCATAATAGAATTTATGGCATTATAATGACACATAAGATGTGACCACCAAGGTTTGATATAAATGCTGTAGTCCAACTTGTTAACATGATTTCAGACAGTTTTGTATTTTTAACTGTTGTGTGTTCTACCAGCTGAAGACTTCTGTTAGCAAGGACATGCTGAGACCTACAGGAAAGGTAGTGGGCATTATAAAACGGAACTGGCGACCGTTTTGTGGCATGCTTTCCAAATCACAGATCAAAGAGGTAAGGAAATAATCCAGTTATTGTAAGTGCAGATTATTTTTTTCCTCTTTAATTGGAAATTACTTGTTCCTTTTTCTGGCTGTCAATAGGCAAGACGCCATTTGTTTACACCAGCTGATCGCAGAATTCCTCGCATTCGAATAGAAACAAGACAAGCAGATACGTTGGAAGGACAAAGAATAATTGTTGCTATTGATGGCTGGCCCAGGAATTCCAGGTATCCTAATGTAAGTTTAAGCATTTTCTTCTGAACTATCTCTGATTTTTTTGTATTAGGTGAGATGTTTATTATCTGCAACGCTGAGTAACTTCAAAAATGTGAATTTTAAGTTCTTTGAATGCCATTTGATGGTGCAAGTTAAGAAAGTCAATAAATGATTTAGTTTACTCTTACCCCCAAACCCAGGTATGGGTTATCATACTTACGAAGCTTACTCCTCAGGTTCTGCAGTGAAAATATATATGCTAACAAAGGTGCTTTATTTAGACTAACCAGGGACCACCTTGTTTTAGTCTGTGTTCCTACAAATGCAAACTTTTCACTGTGACTTTGCTCATCCACACACTGATCACTGTCCTGGCAAGTAGTTTTAAACAGTTTGGCCAAATTCAATCAAATTGCCCGTGAGGCTGAGTTACAGATAATTAAGTTCTTTATTCTTTGGAAATAAACAAGAGGCTGTAAGAGAAATTGAGGACACTGGCTTCAGTTTGTGTTGAATACTAACTAGGCTTTGGAGGGGCTTCTATTGGCTCATGTAGGAACACATAGCCTGTACTGAATGAGAGCACAGGTGACTCACACAAGTTTAGAGAAATGAAGGAAAGTTGGAATATATGGAAGGAGCATTAGGACAAAGAGCATTACTGCAGGGGATGAGACATGAGGGAGGAAGTAGGGTTGATGTGGTATTAGGGAATGGAATGTATGGCACAACACAAACCCATGGAGAAATTAAACCTTACTAGTTTTACTGCTTATGCAGCAATGTTATTTCTTTCCAGCAATACCTAATTGCCACAGTTAAAATTTTTGCAGTCTTAACTGTGGAGGATTTAGTACCATTCCAGGAAAAGAGGGGGATGTACACAGTTCAGACCTACTGAATCAATTAAATACTTCAAATTACATTTCTCTCAAAGATGAGAAAGTTGTCTGAAGAAAGAAAGATTACTTAATATTGTGTAGTTTAATTTATTAATAACCTGTGGAATAATCATCTCAAATACTTATTTCTGAGCAAACAATATTGCTTGATGTCCATGTGTGTATATAGATATATGTATGTATATTGTTTCTCAGGGTCATTTTGTAAAGAACTTGGGAAGTGCTGGAGATAAAGAGACAGAGACAGAAGTTCTTCTGCTTGAGCATGATGTCCCTCATCAGCCTTTTTCCCAGGCTGTCCTTAGTTTTCTACCAAAAATGCCATGGAACATTACAGAACAGGTAACAATTATAAAATTATTGTAATAATTACTGTGCCTTCTCCTTCAAATCAAACTGTGGCGTTCTTGGACATCCCAGTGCACCAAAAATAGAGGAGAAATGTTGTCCAAAACCATTTTGTCTTAGGGTGAACTTTCACCTGGATTTCCTATGGAAACAAGACCTCTGTGGGTTTTGGGGGTTTGGCTAAAACTGTGTGTGTTAAGGATAGCCATCTTAAGATAAAAAACATATTGCAGGTTTCATTAAAAAATAAAAATATAAAGCCCATTTTTTTTTCAAAGGAGAGACTACAATGCAGGTAATTGTAAGATCCCTAAGAATTTTTCATCTTGCTAAATAGCTTTGTAACCAAATGTGGCAGCCTGTGTCATCGATAAGATAATCTGATGCATAGAATATATCGGATACTATATATATATATCAGATGCATATATCAAATGTATAAAAAATAATTTAATATGATCCCTCCATAATCCAGTAGAGTAATTACAGAAAGAGAAATTGGTGTTTGCAGAATTGCTCGTTTTAAATGCTGTTAGTGAATTTCAGGTTCTCCCCAGTAGCTTAAGTATGAGAAATGGTTGCTTTAGAACATGTGGAAAAATGTCCTCAGGGAACAATCCAAGCATGATATGTTTTTAGGATGGGCTAGTTTGTTTTGTTGTGGGCTGGGCTGACTGTTTTTGTTTGTGCGTTTTGTGTATTTTAATTTCTTTGAGGTGGGCTACTTTTATTACCTGTTCTTTCTTTTGAGTGTGGAAACTGAAGGAGGGATCTTTGTGTAAATTAGCTCTCTAAAAGTAAGTTTTCTAGTCTGAGATATCTGAAGTATTTTTGTAGCCATCATAAAAAGGTAGATATTTCCAAAGTGTGCAATTCTTTTCAACTGCCTAGACATCTAAACCTTAGAAAGCTAGAGTTGAGAGCAATCATATCCTAAACAAATTGTTCAGCTGGATGTAAATCAAAATTTCACTTTAAAAAAAATAAATCTTGATTCCTGGTCCTGCTGATTCTAAGATTATGAGGAGACTGTGGTTGTATTGCTTCTCTTCCTGTTTGTAAAACAAAAAAACTTTCAGTACTTGATCATCTTCTTATTTTTTCTATCACTAGTTTCTGCATATCTGCTTTTGATCTTGTCCTAAAGCGGAAAAACCACTCTTGGTTGCTTTGGAAAATCTTATGCGAAGTACCTTTCTCAAATGATCATTTTTACTTTGATATGGAAGGTGTTCTTGAAAACAACCTTTTTTTTTTTTAATTTCAGGATCTGAAATACAGGGAGGACCTAAGACATCTGTCTGTTTGTAGTGTTGATCCTCCTGGCTGTACAGATATTGATGATGCATTACACTATAGAGAAATAGAAAATGGAAATATAGAGGTATTGTCTTTTTTTTTAAATCAAGCCATTTGTTTATTTCTTCCATTATTTTATAAACAGTGCAATAATGGTAATGACATGAGCAAAGGTCCAGATCTGTCATAAAAGAAATTAGTGGTGTTTGCACAACTGCAAGGTGATAATAAAGGGAGTTGATTCGCATTACATCAGGGTCAGAAGCGGTAATTTAGTGTCTTCTAAATTCACCCTGCTTTCTGCTCTTTTGGCATGGGAAATTAACATAGAATTTATTTACTGCTTTAGCTCAGTATAAACTTGGATATCTACAGCTAGGTTAAGGAACTATCAGAGAAAGGGAAGCTACTGCTGTAACACCTAAGGAATTATTGGTTTATTTAAAAAAAAAACCAAACAAACATTAAAAAACTACAGTCTTAACACCAGCTCCCTACCCCCTTATATCTGACTTAGTCAGGTTTTCTTTATAAATTAATTTGTAATTGTAATAGCAGGGTGTGCCAAAATGGAAGGTCTAGCAAACAGAAAAGTAAAAACAAATTTGAAGTGAACCTTGAAGAAAAACAGAGAGGTTATTTGAGCCTCCAGGCAAGAAGAGGTGCATTGGTAATGAATATAATTTTCCACTAAATGTGCACATGCCCTTGTTTTGAATAATTGCTGCAACTACCAATTTTTTAACGTCA